GATGGCATCATTTCATAAGCACAGAAACAGCAGCACACACCATGATGTTGTAAACAGCCGCAGAGAAGCAGGTTGGACTCTCCTAACTCGACTAGATAGGACAATGAGCTGCAGGAAATGTTTGCACTTACACAAGCTGCTACAGTACGTAGGCTGCAGAGCCACATAAGCTACAAATGACTCTCACTTTAGCACTTTCATAACTCACTACACCATTTTCACGTCCAGATTTAACAAAAACAGCAGTATTAAAGAACAGTTTTGAGTGGAATAATGAAGATATTAGGAGCATTTGATTTGCTCTTTCTCTAATGCAACCTCTAGCTCTGAAGGCTGGTACCTCATCATAAAGATGGGCCCACGTTACACCCCTGACTCCCGTCTCTAACTGCAGACACAGAGCTGTAAATACCAATCCAAGGAGAAAAAAAGGAAAAGGCTAAACATCTTGAGGCCCAAAGTCCTGGGTTTGCAAATTCCAAGCATTTTTCACTCGGCTGGAGCCACCTAGATTCACAGAGGGGCAGAGCTGGGATTTCACGGTAGAGGTGGAACGTAAAGCAGTCTGCTGCTTATCACTGTCTCAAGGCGAGGGTTTCTTAGGAGATGTTTAAGGGAAAGGTATGTGCTGTTGAGAGCAATCTGAAATAATAACCCTGACATTGCCAGGCTGTGCACTGCCCTCCATCAGCGAGCACCAGGCCTGTCAGTGAGGAGAGGAGCTTGGTTAGCTGCAAGCTCTCTTGGCCAGCACAGTTTTTTGGAGGATAAAGGCTCTTTGGCTGACGAAAGTGGGGCTACTGGCCAGAGGAAGGGAGCAGAGAGGGGGGTGGGGGCTCTGTGCCTCTTTTTTTTTCTAGTGAAAGGCCATTTCACTGCCTGCTGTTACCATAACAACAGGCTACAGACGAGGGGAGGTGGAGGGGTGCGTCACAAACTTTCTCTTTTGACTGCAAGGCACCAAGCACTGGGGCTGCTATGGGACAATGATTAATAAAGTGCAAACCAGGGACAGAAAGGGGCCATAGTGGGAACATTTCTTCCACAGATTACCAAAGAATTGGTTGTTTGTTTAGTTTTTTTGTCACATATAGTAAAAGGGTCATTTGGTGTGTGTTTTTCTTCCCCAACAGACTTCCAACCAAAGACTACAGAACCTTTCCTACTAGCATTTTGATGCTGGTCATTTTAAAGCTGCACAGATGGGCCTCTGGCATGAAAATACCACCAAGAAGAGCAGATGGTTACATCAAATCACTATTGTATTGATGCTCTCATATGAAACTAGATCCCATGTGGGTTTGGATTATTGCAATATCAAGACATTGCTCCATAATGTGTTGATGTTTTGTGAACATTATAACATTAACTGGTTTAGAGCAAACTAAATGCTTCAATGCACTCTTACCCTTCTTTACACACTTCCAAAAAAGACTCTGTGTAAATACACCTTATAATTACCTAACAAATATAAAATGGTGTCAGTTATGCACAGCATTTGAAGAGACGCCCTGCCGGTGTTGTTAAAGGTTAAAAAGTAGGCAAATGTTGCTGCAGGGAATGACAACAACATGGTAGCCACAAAGCTGGAGTGCAAGTGCCATTCAGGTCTCAGTTACAATGTTATCTCCAACAGCTGAGCTCAGTTGACTGCAGCATGAAGTGTCAGGACACCGCAGTTTGCATCGACGCTGATCGAAAATGACAGCGGCGTTTTTCCACTTGGAGGAGAAAACTGCGGCGTATCCACACACACACCGGTCCGCAGTGGAGCTGTAGGCTATGAGATCTCACTGGTCAATTTTTACAAGTCATCATCTGTCCGGCAGGAGAAAACTAGGCCTGTAGCTATATTGAGCACCACCCTGCAGCATTTCAGATTATATTTAAATGCGACATGTGCCGTGTGTGCGCGGACCAACACGGGTAAAAGGAGTTGCGCAAAAACAAACGAGCAAAAATGTATTTGTAGGGCTTTTCTGTGTCTGCTTACCTGCAGATGTTCCTGAAATCGTATCGGCAGTATTTGAGCCATGACTGCAGGATTTCTCTTTCAGAACAATCCGTGAGAAAGGAAAGGGGAAGGGGACAACCGGAGAAATAGAGGTGATCTTGTTCTGTTTGTGCCCTAAACGTCCCAAAAAGTCAAATCCGATGGGCAGTATAAGGTAGTCTGGTGTGTTGCGTTGGTATCACACGAATCCAGTGACTGCTCCCATTCAGTAGCCCCCCTACAGCAGTCCTGAATCAAAAACTCCGCACCTCCGCCAAGAAAACTAGTCCTCTTCAACTAGTGTGTGATCCAAGAGAATTGTAGAAGGATAGAGGGGCGTGCAAAAAAAATCCACGCTGACTCATTGTAAGTGATGAGCTCTCGTGAGTTCCCTGTGTCGTAAATTCCTTTATTTTCTCTAAGCTGTCAATGCAGGCGGTCGGATGTGCAGTGTGTACCCCTCCGCCGCAGCCCCTTCCCCCTTCCTGCCCACCAACTTCGAAATCAGGGCCTGTGACAAAACGCCCCACCGTTGCATGATTTCTTTAAAATGATACTCTAAGTAAATATGTGTTTTTTTTAAGGATGACGCAGCCTTTTTTTCCCCAAAGAGCTGAAACTGCATCTTTTTTGACGTATACAGACACTATCATCATCAGGTTGTGCACAGTTATAAAAATGCTATGTGGTTTTAAACATCACCTAATGCCCTTCAGATGCTATTTTGACAAACGTATGTTCTTACAAAATGTTGAATGCATAATAATAATAACAATAATTCATTACATTTTTAGTAGAGCGCTTTTCAAGGTCCTCAAAGCGCTTTACAATTACACATTACACATATTAGACATGGACCAGTTATTATTGTGGACAATACCCACAAGAGCAAATTAGGGTGAAGTGTCTTGCCCAAGGACACAACGCAGAAAAATAGAAAATAATTTAGTGTTTTAAACTAATTTGATCATTTAGACCTGTCAGCTGTTTGCGGTTGGTCTGACAAATACTTCCTTTTAAAATCCACAAAGGCCTTTAGACCACTAATGTGAGTCAGTATTACACACAGGATGTGGACAGGATCTGACCTACACTACAGTTTTAACTTCTTCAGTTATTAAATGTCAAACTTTCTGCCCTATGCAAAACGTTTAGTATGGCACAACAGGATTAAATCACCTTGTATATAGATAGTTGACCCTATCAATACACAGAACTTTGTAAGAAAAAATATACATATTCCCAGTATCTTTTTTAAATCTAATAAAGCAGTAAAATTATTGCAGTTATAATTCTATATTTTTTAATAAATGTTCTAACTCGGGCTACCCGGTGGCTTTAGCATGCTCGCTATGTAATTGAAATGTCCTTTCAGGGATCTTTTACTGTATGCCATCCTGTCTCCTTTTCCCCATTCATTTCCTGTCACCCCTCTTACTTGCACTACCTCATAATGGCTAAAATGCCTAAAAATGAAATGAAAATAAACCTAAGCTTGTGGGGAACTGAGTCTGAGTGAACAAATAAAAAAGATCCTTCTTACTTTAAAGAGATTTTAGTCTAAATGTATGGTGAGCTGCTACACAAATTATGTTGCAAATCACACACATTTGTCTGGGTTTGGAATCCTGAGGATACATTTGTTTTTCATCCCAGCAGTAATCCTGTAACAGAGCTTCAACATGGTTTACACCCACCTGCCAAATTACCCTGGCTCCAGGAAGTTATTTCGTACTCATTTACACACAGTGGCCTATGTAAATACAGCCAAATGTCGAACTCGCTCTACACTTTCAGCCTGTATTCAAATCTACCAGCTAATATGATAAAAAAACGTATATGTTTTTCTGGTTTAATAAAATGGTAAATTCTAAAAACAAAAATACATAATATGCCCCTTCCTCATTTCATTTCATTTAATTTCAAACCTTTATTTATCCAGGTTATATCCCATTGAGATCATTGATCTCTTTTTCAAGGGAGACCTGCTCAAGTAGGTTCCACATGAAACATTAAAAACATAACAGAGCAACAAAAGGACATCATACAGTAGCATTACAGGGATTACAATTTACATAACTATCCACATGCACAGGTACCAACAGCAAGTTTCCTGTAAGTAATATCATGACTTCAGGCACATTATAGCCATAATTTTTCCCTTACTTAGTTTTCCCAGTTAATGAGCCGATATCACTCTAAAACATATTTAAGATGTAACTCTGATATGTTTATAACGTTGCTGTTTCCACTCTTTTAGTCAAATCATGCACACAGGACTCTGTTGTCTGCTGGCAGGCCCAGGATTTATGTTCTGGCCACAGAGACGGTGGTTTCACCCTGACAGGAAGCAGGTGTTACCAACAATGTCTGGTCAGTGCCACTGGAAGGAAGAACACACACACATCACACACGCACATGCACACACACACAAACACAAACACACACACACACACACACACGCACGCACACGCACACACACACACACACACACACACACACACACACACACACACACACACACACACACACAGCTCCTTGATTTTTAGTTAAACCCACAAACCCTGCGCTCACCACACTGACCTTCAGTGACGCAGATTGACAGCAGTGGAGGTTTGAGTTTACTGAAAAGACTTCATCAAACATCAACCTTTTATTAAACACTAAATCTGTTATTTTATATAGCGTATAATTTGTGATATATTTCTCTATCTATCTATCTATCTATCTATCTATCTATCTATCTATCTATCTATCTATCTATCTATCTATCTATATATATATATCTATCTATCTATCTATCTATCTATCTATCTATCTATCTATCTATCTATCTATCTATCTATCTATCTATCTATCTATCTATCTATCTATCTATCTATCTATCTAATCCTGTACATGAGCCACACACATAACACAATCATCAGATAAAGACAATGGTCCAGTTTAACTGGCTGTTACTGTAAAAACAGCGAAACTGTGGCAAAAGAAAGAAACAAAAACAAAGTAAAGCAGTTTCATTGTGTCTTTGTATTTAACAATATCTACAATATCACATCCTAAAAGACAATTGTAATATATCAAACCATTTTAAAGCTATCAAACTAAACTTGGGGGAAAGACTCACAACAACTCTCTACTGCTGTAATAAAAATGTCTGATTAATGGTCACATTTATCTCAACAGTTCATCACACATGACCACCGTCATAATGGAAATGAGCAGGAGGCACAAAGTGAAGAGTTAAGCTGCAACCTGGGAGGCAATGTGATGTGGTTTGGCATCTGTTACACAGCAGAAATATACTGTAATGCTAGAAAGGTGATTGAAATATACAGTAATATTACATTAACACCATTATCTTAAGGCGGAAACAAATAGTGAAATATGTTCCTTTTCACAAAAAAACTGTTAACCACAGCCAATTGTTGCTAAAGTTATGACAACACAGGAATATCACTTTGCGAACCAACAGAAACTTTACTGTAAGGTTATGCTGTTCTTACATCATGCAGAAGCTGAGACTACTTTCTGGAGAAATTGTTGGTGAAATATGATATCTGCTAAGGTTCCAGTGCATTACAAGCTATTCCTATCTGTAAACAATATAAAGGAAACCATACGTTAGCTGACTGATTTCATAGAGTTAAACTTAATACACACATGTGACACACAGTGTAGCTACAGAAACTTTCAAACAGTACAATGTTCATTATTTTACCCTGAATACAACCTGACAGAAGCTCCTAGTGTGGTTTTAAGGGCGTTCAGCATGGGTTAAATAAGTTGTTTGCTTGGCCTGGCTCTTGCTGTCGATCAGAAGAAGCTGGTTATTCTTGTGATGAGAAATCATCTCGTCGAGGGAGTTGAATATCTGAGAGAGGGACAGCAAGATAAACGGAGAGATGTAATAAATGAAAAGATTAACATTCATCCAGAACCCTGCTCTCTTTGTTGCGTTCTACACTCTGTGTTTTCCTACAGCTCACTCTCCTTTCTTAAATATTAATTTGCCATCACCTCTTCATTCGTCTTGCCTTCTTTTCCAAGGGCATACCCTTGTGTCTCCCCAATGAAGCGGATGGGAACGTTGTACACCTTTTGCTGGTAGAGCACAGCGAGGGTGTACGGCTGCCGGCTGCTCTGAGCTGAGCTGTGTCGGATAAGAAAGGCACCGTCCTACAATGAGGACAAAGAGAAGGGGAAATCCAAGCAAGATTTACACATCACAGTGCAGGATGGATAAAGAATTCAGGGTGATGTAAAAACATTGTCCATATTTTCCAGAGTAAGTGGTTGAATTGGGAAATAATTCACCTTCACAGAGGCCCTGAAGGTGTGTGACTCACTTTTATTTGAGCGTCAGCAAAAACATGCACATGAACACGCAGCAAATTTCCCCAATGTCTGAGCAACACCCTTGCCTTAAGCCCTTGTGTTAGCTCAGCTGAACAAAAAGTTATTATGTTTGAAATGACGAATGAACTCCAATCATTATTCCCTAAAACCACTAAATGGAAAAAAACACATTTTATCTCCACATTAAATTCAACTTTACCTTGTTGACCCTCAGTAAGTGCTCCTCTGCTTTCTTTCTGTTGCAATCTCCAGCAAACCATTCTTTGTCCTGTAACATCACATGGTCAACAATAGTCAATCATTCCTCACTATTTTGTATTTGATTTTCTGCGTGCATAGATATCTTACCTCATTCCCAGACTGTTTGGTCGCCCTCATGCCACCAGAGGAGACTTCAAATAGACAGACAACATGTTGTGTGTTTTCGCAGGTTTAGTAAATCCATATTCCCAAACATGTTTAAATAGATGTAAAGTATAGTCCATGCAACGTTTGTAATTCTTCAAATATATATGCAGACCACAAATGATCACAGTCATTTCTCAGGATTTAAAAAACACTATTTAATAAACAAAAATGTAGCTTACCCACAGGCTTAGTGTCTGGCAACAGTGCAAGGCTAGAATAAAGACCATACATCTCATGTTAAACATTGAATTTAATAATTATGTATGTGCACACTTTCAGGTGGGATCATCTGCAGAAACAAGCTGGAAATCTATGTAAATCATTGCCATTTAATGTTCAACTCGTGTTTCTTATGGCTTAGAAATGACTTTGTAGTTTTCACCTCTTACCTGGGTTTTCCTTCCTTCAGGTGGGCTAGCAGAGGGGGCTTCACACTGGTGGGGGGTAAAGGGAGTTTGGTAGGAAATGTGCCTCGTCTTGCTTCAACTGGAGGAGTCATCGCTGTCATAATGATCACAATTATTTATTTGGATGTAGTTTGTACTGATTAGTGTTTCACAATTATACAATTGTTGGTCTTTACCCGTACTTGAGTCAGGGAACGGCAGGAATGGATTCTGAAAGAAGGGAAATAAAAAGTTTCTGCTGTGTCATACTGATGAGTTTCATTTCCTACGTAGGAAATTGAAAAAGAGTATGAATAAAAACCTCCATTTCTGATTCAGCCTCTATTTTGACATTCTTTATTTAAATAGGGACAGAGCTTAGCATAAGGAAATGATAACAACTAAGCACTGAGAGGAATAGACACTCACAGAATGAGCTCTGGGAACCGGTGGCTTCGACCTGCAAATAGAGAGGATGTTCATTTTCATGGCATGTTTAGTACTAGGAATTGACTGTGTGTTGCCACTAACATTATCTGCTATATTTGCATTTTAATGTAAAACACAGCAGCATTATTGTCTGGTGTGACAGGTAGTATGAAGCCATGCAGACAGATTGTATCATTGGTTGGTGCAAATCATCAGAAGATGCTTTGAGTGCACTGACATGGGTATGGGAGAAGGAGGCATCCTCATCGGCCCACGAGGGGGAGGGGAGCAAGCTGAGGAGCAGGAGGAAAGGAATTTATAATATTTATTAGACTTTTCATCATCTGGAGAAGAAATACAGTCCGATTATCAGTCACAGACCAATAACTGAACATGCAAAGTACGGAGCAAGTTCTTGTGAAGTGTGGTGCAACCTACCAGCTGTCGGTTCTAAATACAGCTCCTCATTGTCGTCCTGAAACACAGAATGACAAATAATAATAATAATAATAAATTCAATTTATAAAGCACCTTTCATTGCTAACAGCAATCCCAAGGTTTCATAAAACATAGCAGTGTATTCCTCTATACACATGGAGTAATGTGTTGGGTAATCATTCCTGTTGAAGCCCAGTGATAAACCATACACAGTTCATGCAGATAACTGAAGTCAGGCTTGTGACCATATCTGAATCATTTGAAGGTACGTGGCTGTTAACAGTCAGGGCCATTCTTACCCATTATACCAACAACAATCTGATACCATGGCCTTTTGCTGCCTTCTCCTTAGGTATTAATGTTTTAGACAGGGTTAAAGAATATCGTATATATTACCTGTTCTTCATTTGGATCCAGATACACATCTGAAATGCAGAAAGAAATTATTGGAGATCTATTACCTCTGTGATTCAGTCATTACCTAATTACATTATAAAGATATATTGCTCATGACCTTTGACCTTAAGTTTTGCACAATTGGGCAAAGCCAGAGGATGCAAAAATAATCCACTATTGGGATGACACAAAGTTCCCCATCTTGTAAATATACTGATTTTGGCAACATTTCCCATTCTTCTTTCAGATCTGTTTGCCAATAAAGCCTATAGTCTCAGAGTGCAGTTCAGCAATACAACAGCAGGTCGCACCCTCTTCTTTGTTTCAGTCACAGCTTCAATCTCCTCTTACCCAGTTTTTTTATTATATTTGATCACAAACAAACAGCCGGTTGCTGCTGGAAACATTAAACATTGATTGTGCAGCAGAAAGATTTTCCTTGGAAAGATGGATGAACAGATAGAGGACAAGTCTTTCATAGAGTGGGTTGACTGTTTCTGTAGCTAGCACATGACTAATAACAAACAAATCATGTATTTATGTGGTTGTCATACCACCTTATTGATATATACTCTCCTCTCAGTCAACATACATTTACAGACTGATAAAGAATTTCTATGAAAGGCTTTGTGTGTGTAGAAGTGATCATAGCACCTTCGTCAATGGGGTCTGGAGGAGGCCCCTTATTCTTTCTTCCAGGCTTGTCATTTCTGTCTACCTCCGGTGCTGAAAACATAGGTTAGAGAAATGAAGAGAGGTGGGTTATGAATTGAATAAAGCACCAGCATGTTTATGAACAGCAAAATGATAAAGATGAAAGACTAACGTTTCTTGGTTTTGGGATCATGGAAGAAATCGTCAGTGCGTTGTTGAGGTTTCTGGATGACAGAGCATTATTTTAATAAAAAGAAATGCAGAGTATCTGTAGAAGGCTTGATGGATGCAGAGACACACAGAAACAGACTTCCAGGACACTGAGGTGTTCTTACTGGCCTGGGTGGAGGAGCAGCCTTCCTCTGTGGAGTAGGAGGAGGAGGAGGCGGCGATGTCCTCTCTGCAAAGAGTAACAGAATTTAAACAGGCCTTTCTGTTCTTGTTGAGACCCTAACCCTATATGCTTTATTGAGTCAATGTGTTTACCCAGATAAACATTCTCCTCCACTTGTGTCTGTGGGACCTTCGCAGGCGAAAGCTCACACGGAGGCACTTCATACGTGTCACCATCTTCATCATCCTGCCATTAGAAAATATAGTGGTGCATTTTCACAAATACTCATCAGCACAATAATACTGAGAATATAAGTATGAAGTTTAGTTATATTAAACTGTAGCATTTTACTGTATCCCTCTACAAAAAGAAGCAACAGTGCTTTAAGATAAATGTCATAACTGTAGCATACGAATGATGAAACATGTTTAATAAAGCAGCACCCCTTGATATTAGCATACATTCAGAAGCTTGATGTCTTTCTACTCACAAACTCATCCTGCGGCCAACCAAACCCTGCACTGTCATCTGTGAAAAAACACATTCAACTTAAAGAAAAAGTCCACAGTGAGGAAACAAAGACAGAAGGAACCCAAACTATTCCCCTTTATTTGTCGGTGTGGTCAAATCTCACCTTCCCTTTTGGGTGGAGCTGGAGGTCCACTGTGTCTGAGGGAGAGAGGACAGGTGAGATGCTGCAGTCATTTTATTTCATAAACAGCAACACTACTGAGTTTTAACAAACGACCACAATACTTACCGGTTCTTCAGTTTTCCAAAGAAGCTCTGAAAATAGAGAAATCGCAGATGAGTATCCAAAGAATTAACAGAGGCGAAATAAACTTCACTACTTGCTGGTAGTATTGACTTTAGTTATAAATCAGCTTCATCATCCTGACTCAGACGCTGCTCTTTGGGGAAGATCCACATCATGGACAATAGAGCTTTATTTAGTAAGCAAGATCATTTAGTACAGTAAAAACAACCAGAATACTAGGTAACACATTCTGTATGTATGTACAGTACAAGTCCAAAATGTTTCTGTTATGTGCACACCATTGTACCTATAACAAGGCTAGGTGTTAGTGAAATAAATATAACATTGTTAATTTATTAGGTTATTGTACATTTTAAAGGTGGTAATGGACAGTATGCATATTCTAAATATCTATGTAAAGCCTCCTTAGAAAAAATGTAGAATTGAAGTGCTGGTTAAACACAATTTAGTGGAACAAAACCATGTTGTTTCTCAAAATAATATCACATAAATCAATTACAAGCAAGTTTAAAGGTGTTTTTACATTAGTTTTACAGTATGTAGTTTTAGTATATTAACTGTAATGTATTTATTATTTGTGAATCTCATCCTTAGGATTGTATCTCCGTGACTTTAAGCTACTGTTTAATCACAATGGCTGTTTTGGAGCAGAGATTAATGAACATTATCAGTAAAACACAGAAGAGTTCATCTGCAGGTGTGTGGCTGAGGCTGGCAGGGGGAGGAGGAGATAAACATGTCAGGTGAAATCAGGAAGTAGAGGGATATATTTTTGTTTTCCCACAGTGCCAGGCAGCTATAGAGGAAGTGTTAGTTACAGAGCGAAGGTGACCGACTGCAGAGTTTCTATTTCTTACACATTGGTTCATAAAATGTTAGATAACAGCTTCCTAATATTGATAAATGAGGTGCAGCTGAGAGGTACAAAGGACAAAGATAACTACTGTATTTACAGACTTTTTCTCTCACAGTACATTAATTCAAAAAACATTTGCATTTAAATGGGTCAAGTTGCAGTGACAATGACTGCTTTGTGTCCAGCTACTTCTCTCTGATGAGCCTCCCTAAGTTTCAGTGAAAAGTTATATCAGGGTCCCAGGAGGAAAAAGGAAAAGTCCTGTAACCATGAAGTGAATTATGATGCAAACAAGGATAGGACACACTGAACGTTATTCAAATGTTTTACTGTTCAGATATAAATAGTGGGTCCATATTATATTTAATGGGGAAATACTTTGATCACCACGTTTTCTCTGCCTTTTCCACAACGGATTGAGTGCGTTTTATCGGCAATTGTTGTTTTCTTAAACACTGCTGTAGACACTATTATTTACAATGATATCCATTTACTGTTCCAAACATCTAGATGAGCAAACATTATCAGACATATTCTTTATGTGAAATTAAATAAAGCATGTCTGTGACTCACTGGAGTCTCTACAAGGACGCCTGAGAAGTTTGACAACATTTGCACGAGTTACAATAATTGAATCTATTAAAAAAGATCACCACCAGTCTGACTTATTGTTTTGCTGTCAGTACATTTTTCCTAAAACAGCTCAACTCAACTCAAGTTATTACATTTCAAATAATGATTAAGTTCAAATATTAAAATCAGATATGAAGATTGGGATTATGAGTGCAAATATGTAGAAGTGACACTATTTGAAAATTGCTAGATTTCCAAAACTTGATAGATTTTCAGAAAAGAATGTATTGGATTCATGCCTGATAAGACAACACTTATCTGCATCTGTATTCATTCTGATTAAATGTTGTCATCAAATTTACACTAAACCATGGATAATACAAATGTAATAAATTCAATTTAGTCAACCAAGAAACTGATTTTATGGAGTGTTCAGCAAAGAACAAACATAAAACAACGTAAAACAAACTTGTTTGAACTCTTATCTATAAAGAAAAGCACAATGCCGATACCTGTATGTGTGTTTACTCAAGTTTGCCTTCATACTTCAAAACAATCTAAACTTTTAACAGTGATGCTGCCATTATAACATTTACCTTATTCAGAATTCCCTGAGATAACAACCTGAAATATAAGTTACTTCATGAAAGGTTTACAGAGAACTCATTTACAAAAACCTAAAACTGTGCCATCGACAACACTGACCACTTCCTTATCACTCTGCTCAAAGTTATCAGGATGTAAACCAACATTTGACCAAAAAGAAAACAGTACTTTACCATTGTCATGATTTGGGGTTGAGTCTTGCAGCTCAAGTCATGTGGAAATGTCTTTATTTCGGACCTTGGATGCAAATGGTTGGAAGATTGCGAGTGAACGATACAGAGAGAATGTGAAGAGCAGCTCAGTCTAACTGATCTAATTTGCATTTCCTACCTGAGTGAGGCTGCCTCACCTGTTGCTCTGCCTTTAAATAAGCTTCCGACTCACGCAGCTCCAACATGGCTCCACATTTCCCTAAACTGGTTTTGGCCATATAACAAACTGAGTTATATATCTGTTTTTTTTGCAACTGCTAAATAACATCTCCTTTGTATTCTATCTGCAAACAAAAAGTGGAAATTAATTATTAACTCCCGATACACACACACGCTATTAAGCTTGGCAAGTAAGCTACTGTCATTGATACAAGGGTAAAATACACAACAAATACAGTGGAGGTGGGGAACAAAGCACCCACAGAGTAAAACCAAAATAAGTTATGTCCAGGTTTCTCTAACCTTTCGATATTTTGCTGATTCATATTATGCTGCTTTTGGATACAGTTTTTTATAATGGGAAACATGTTTTTTTTATCTCTGGTAAGGTTATGTTTTAACAATAAACATATCTTGGCAATTACAGCATCACTATCATTTATATCAAGTTTTGACTTAATTTCCAAGACGCTGAAAATATCATCAGTCATGTCAGGAATGTGCTTTAGGAAACTATTTTATTCCAAAGGTTAAGGCCTGAGTCTTCTTTACCTTACTGAACTTCACTCATTTGTAACCATGTTAATATTTCAGTGATTAATCGAAGCTAATAAAATCACACAACAAGGTCAAAAAGCAGGATGCAAATAAAGATGTATTCCAAATATTATTTATTAACAAAGGAGTATGTTGCCAGATGTGGATATAATGACAGAGACAATAAATTACCAAACTACACACAGCAAAAAATGACTTTCTCTAATACAATATAAAACACACATAAATATTAACTTAGTAAAAAAACATTTAAAACCCAGTCACAGAACAAATGGATTATGTTTTGCAGTCAATAAGCAGTTTAACAGAGAACAGAACAATACAAAATCAATATTCAGACAATATACATGTTAGGCTATGTACATGCTGGGCTCAACCCAGGTGTCTGTTGGAGAAGTGCTCTGGGAATCTGATTTTAAAACACGTAGTGAGAACAATGAACATGGCACAGGTTTTTGTAAAAGAGTATCTGTTTGTTTCCACCTGTCCCAAATGTAATCCATTTAAAAGGCTAACAGGAGTTCAAACTGTGAAAACAAGCAGAATCTGAGCCAGCAGATACATTTTGTGTTTCGGTGTGGATCCCCTAAAGCCCCAAAGTAAACTGATGCAGAACTTGCATTGACATCAAAACATATAACGCCAGCATAACCTCAAATACAATATTGGTTTAAAGCCTTCCTTCCTATGTGACTAACTGCGCTGAGCAAAGTAAATGTATTGGGTTAAGTGGAGTATTCTTTTGGATTAAAAGCACTTCTGACCTGAAGTCTACCGCTCTGACTTATTTGCATACAATGGCACAAAGAGAGGGATGTACTGACATTCCCTTTTTCACCTCAACCTCCATTTTGTTGGAGGAAATATTCAGAAACACATTAACTCTGATTACATGAAGAGACAACAAGTATTATTTAACTCGAAATGACCCAGAAGAGCAAAAAGAGTTTGTCCTGTGTTTTTGTCCATTTGTACTGTCACAGTTAACACAGTTAGGAACAGAAAAACATGAAACACAGAGCTACTTTGAACATGAAAACTGTGATTGAGGTCTTTCTTGTGAGTTCTTGTGGTCCCGCTTGTTTAGAACCTCAATTAGTTTGCATTTAGATAAACAACAGAGTGAGAGTCCTGTTTATCTCTCTGTCTATCTTCTCAATGATAAACATATCTGCTTTTGCTGTTCTACCCACTGTGTTTGTGGGTACGGTCATCTATTAAAATCTTCTTTGCAGTCTCTCTTACTTTAGACTGGGTTTGCCTTAATTATACTGTTAATCCAGTCGATGTAATGGGTGACGCGGGTGTAGACCCCGGGTTTATCCTTCTGCCCACACCCATCGCCCCAACTGATCACACCCATCAGGGTCATCTTGTCGTTGTTCCGACAGACGAGCGGGCCACCAGAGTCTCCCTGTGGGGAAGTGCAAAGAAGTAGAATTTAGAGAGAGAACAAATTATATATAAGACAACCAAGATCTTAAAATATATTCAGCTGACAAATCTCACATCTGAGAAGCTGTAACCAGAAAAGATCTGGCATATTTGATTTTAAATGTATCAAAACAGTTGCAGATGAATTGTCCGTCATAAATGAATGGTTTAGCACCATAACACACAAAGTGACTTACCTTGCATGCATCATCCAGGCCCCGGGTGTCGCCTGCACACAGCATGTTGGGGGTAATTGTGCGTTGAGACAACACATCTGGGACACAGCGCTCTTTGGGCCACAGGCGAACGTAACCTCTCTTCACACGCTCAGAGAACTCTGCAGAAACTGTGGAAAGAGCTTTTGAATTACTAATCTGGCATATCATATCCAAAAGCAAATACATTCTGGCTTTATGGAAGCACTGCCCTCTCCTGGTCAGTCAAGAGAGAGAAACATTTGCCAAATCAGTAGCCAGCTCTACAAAATGACAGTGCCATCAAAAAAGAATGGATGTTGCTTACACTCTGAGTCTTTTCCATAGCCTGAGATCTCACACTCGGTCCAGTCGGGCAGCACAAGCCCGCGGGCCGGCAGACACGCAGGGAGAACTTCTGGAGAGTTTACAGCACAGATGCCAATGTCCGTCTTTAGCTTCAAGAGAGCTGCAAGTGGAAAATGACCAGAGGAAAAGTCAGGGTAAGGCACTCGGAAAAATTTGGATGAAGACCGAGGGAGGATTTAGAGTTTCAACAAGCGTTTGCGGCCCACATAAGGTTCCATATTATCACTGCTGGGGGAAAACATGTCATCATTCACTAAATACCATGCCAAAACTGTGTTTTTTATAAGTTCATAAAAAGCTGGCATTTTGATCACACAAAATGTTCTGTACCAACAGTGATAAATACAATAGTCTATGAAGACAAAGGAAAACAGTGAACATTTGTGATAAATGTTTCTTGAAATGTTCTCTCACCAATGTCATTGTCAAACGTTTCGTTGTCAAATTTCTCGTGATTCCAGTACTTCTCAACCTTGAAAATCTGCTCGCTGCTGGAATTCTGTTTCCGAAATGTTCTTCCCAAGATCACTTCCAATTTTTCAGCCTTATCACTGAAAAAAGATAGGAAATATGTTGGAATTTTTCATGGCAAGCGTGATACATTTTAGCATGTTGCGTTTGTGTGAGTATCATTCCTACTTGTCCTCAAAGCAGTGTGCAGCAGACAGAACCCAACAGGAGTCAATGAGGACACCTCCACATCTGTGAAAGTGTTTTCTGTGGCGGGCCTGGTAAACGTTAATGGCCGCCTGCCACGGCTGCTCCGTGATGTCGCTCTCTCTGCCCCCAAACATGCGGAACGACGGGCGGTTCAAGGTGTTGTCCAAGCGCTGCCCACATGTTGCTACAAGGCGGACAGGTTCCAAGATGATGGTTAAATAAATGTAAAATTACCAAAAACTAAAATCATAACAGGAAGTGGCCTGTGGTTAATTTTTATTGAATATGAAGTTTGAAGTCGTCCTACCTCTGTTATTGTTGTTAGTGGTGGGGGCACGTGGACCGAGAGTGCTGATGATTGATGGACGTCTTGCTAAAAAAAGACAAGCATGGGTAAGAAGATATGATAGCACATTGCTGCATTGCGAATTAAACAATGGAAGTAAGAAACTTACAGCATTTAGGTATGTCACACAGCTCCCAGGTCAGCTGCATGTTCTTGTAGGTGTGACACCATGGACCTGCATCACCGTCTGGATTCCTATTATTTTATAGGGAAAATAAATACTGTTATTCTAATCTTTCTGCATGCAGAAAGGGAACCTCTGAAAATGAACAATGGTGCTGGCATATCTACCTGCAGAAGCTGTGGCTGCCCAGCCCCTGCTCCAGTGCATCAGATCTCCAGGCATTGTAGAGTTTGCGTTTAATAGAAGGAGCGTCCCAGGGCAGACAGCGAGAGCCGCTCTTAGTGACAGATGCTGTGCCTCTGTATGACTGACCCGAGCCCAGCACACATTGTTGGTTCCTATCTGCTCCAAAACACACGAAGAAACCCAAGTGTAAAGCAATGAATGGTTTAATGAGAAGTATTTTAGCTCACTATATATTGGCTTTTGTAAAGCTGTACCTTTTGGACATCTGGGCATGGAACAGAACTCCCACACAATCTGAGTGCCTTTATAGACGTAACACCAAGGAGTGCTGTCATTGTCGGGGTTTCTGGGGGAGGGGACAATGAGGACAATGAGCAAACATACAACACATTGATGATGATGAAATGCTTTATCCGAACAAGATTTTGCAATGCACCTCATTTTTAAATCCTTCTAATCTTTGGAATAATTTTGCCGTTTTCTCCAGTACTGATCACAATAGTCACATACCTGCAGAAGTTGTGGTTGCCCAGTCCGAGAAGGCTGGCGTCGGGCTTCCTGGCTGTGAACTTCTTTCCTCTCAGAGACGTGGAGTTCCAGTTGATGCACTCTGTCGCTGAATGGCTAATGCTCCATGTGCCGCGGTACCCTTCACCCTGCCCCAAAACGCACTTCTCATTGCTGTCTGTTGGACAAAAGGACACAGTTAAACTGGATGAAATGTCAGTCATTTATATATGAGACTGATATCACTCTAATAACTGACCTCGTTAATTCCTTCTGGCATTTGAGAAAATTATTAAAACAGTGTTATTGCTTATATAAGACATTAAACTAACAATGTGTGTCCTAATAGCATATAAATAGTAATTTTCCAATTAGTGGTTAAAACAACGACTAAACACAAACTGTGAGGATCGTAAATGTGATCAGATTTATTGAGTCTGGCCATTGTAACTCATTACTCTTTCCCTGAAATCACTTGGCTGTGACCGCTGGGGTTTGCATAATAATTATGAGAGGGCGGGGTGCCCCTAAAGTCACCCGCAGAAACAAAAACATTCATATCCCAGAATGTCTGTCCATGGTTTATGATTCTTGTCTCCGAACCACAGGCCCATGACACCTCCTGTATGAGTCACAAGGTCAGACTGTGACCTTATCTACAGTCATTAAATAGTACGTAGGAAGTTTAAATCAGTGTTATGTCACCCTGTTATGGATAAACAACTTTTATTGTTGTTGCTGTGATGTAAAACGTGCAAATTAAAAACTTGGCATAGTGAAATATCTAGATGTAGCTGCTGCAGTACAGATGACTACATAATGACATTAACATTAATCATTGTGAGGGTCTGCTACTTTTATCAGCTTTTTTATTAAACTAAATATTGAGTGTTTTGGACAAATAATATCTGTTGGATTAAAGAGTTTTTTGAGTACTTACTTATCTCACACTGAGTCCCACTGAAGCCTGGGGGACACTGGCAAATGTAGTCAGAAGTGTAAACTGCCTCCTTACAGGTTCCTCCGTTGTAGCACTGAGACACGTAGCAGTCTGGAAGAGGCAGACAGAGAAACGGTTAGTCAGTCACACGTCATCCAGCTCTTCAGAACACAAGCTTTTTCAATAATCAGAACATACATGATTGGCATAACCACTTGTGTTTACAGAGAATTTAATATGTGGGTTTGTGTGTCACATTTTACGCTAACATATTAAGAAGAACTTTGTGTGCATGGTTCATCCTGGCTCTCACACACTCTTTTTTTTTTAAAACCCTGCCATCCCAATAGTTTCTTTCTAGAGCAGAACTGGTTTTTGGCCATCACCTGCCTGGTTTTTCATTTATTGTTTCAACATTTCCTAAAGGCTGGCATTCAGAATAACAGTGCCCCACTCGCTCTCCCACTCATGGTATGAGCTCAGAGTTTGGCGAGCTGAAAATGTGGTTGTAATTTGTCTGAGGGAGGAGCAATTATGCTTCACAGAATTCGTCAATGGGGGTGAAAGTGCGCACAAGGGCTTGTCTGGCAGGAGTAATTCAAACAATCTCAGACTAAATAACACACACCAAAAAACACAGAAAGCCAATAGCTCTTCATTTGGATGCACTGAAATAACAGGGACGGATGAGCCAGGCAAAAAAATAATCATGAGAGGATTTAACAATAAGTTAGAGGTAAAGTGATGTTATAATGAGAGACAGAGAGGTCAGTAAGGACAGGCATGCAGACTGACACATTAATTAACAGAACATTCAATTCTACTCATGGGTTTGTATGTGTTTACATCCATGACACACTCACTGATGACGGGCACAATGTGACAACGCTGTTGTCCTCTTAATGCACAACGGCAATACTCCACACGCTGTCCCCTCCATCGCAGCCAAGTGTCACCAAAACTACGCACTGCTGACGTTTCACTATCCACACAATGTACTGAGAACAGACACACAAGCACAATTAGTTTACAGCCATCAAACAGGAAGACAGACAGAAAACGTAATCATTGACACATGTAAAAGAGGGTTACAAATAAAAAAGGTGCATAATGAGAGAGAGATACAAACACGTGAATGACAACAGTGATTTAAAAGAAACTGATGGTGGTGAGGGTGATGGTGCATGTTAATAGAAAAAGACAAACAGAAGAGTGATGGGGCTCACAGGAGGTGTCAAAGGAAGATGTAGACTTCTGGACATGAATAATCACAAGCGTCCGTCTTGCTGGCCGCCTGTCAGGCTCACCTCTGTAAAAACGAGTCCCTCTCTTAGTGCGGAGCAACTCAACCTGCAATAGAGAAGAGATCAAATAAACACAGAGCAGCAGTAAAAGGGAACTGGTTGCATGGCATTGGTTTCCAACCAAGGCAGCAGGTGCTTTGAAGTGCTGCGAAAATATACTTGAAACTTGCTTCACAAGCTATACAAATACAGGACAGTAGAGCTCCAAAACCAAAGGCCATGAGTCAGCTGCAAAGGTTTAACAGCAGTACTTTAAAAAAAGAATAAAAAAAAATAAAAAACAGATAAATAGATAAATAAACAAAAACAAAAATTCTAAAATATCAAAGAGCATGTTTGCTCAGATGGATTTTAAACCACCAGAATCTTTTTTTATTTTTAAATAAGACCTTGTTTGACATCCTTATGCAAGATTTGTAGTTAAAGGTCTGAAATCGTTGTTGAGGATGTCAGACTTACATTTTCCGCTAGGCAGCAGCAGAGAGCACACAGGAACACAACTAGTTCAAGTGTTCTCGTCATGGCTTGTCAAGTCGTCTTCAGTTAGCTGGAAGAAGAATAAAGTTACATATTAAAGACAATGGTCCAAACAGGCGCTGATACCTGTCGATGCTGTGTGCGCAGACTGAGCATGTATTTTAAATGTTGAATGTCTATCCATCTAAATCCTTTGTCATGACTCTGTCAACACTAAGCCAACAATAACAGGAAAACCATCGACACCGGTCACCTTCCCCTGACTATTCTGTTTCCTTCCTCCATCCCTAAGCCTCCCACTGAGGGAGATCACTGGAGAGGAAAGGGTGGGAAACATCAGGTCCTTTTTAGTTCCTTGAAGTGTTGACTTCTTGGCCCAAACAGGAAGTTTTAACAGCATGAACAATCTGAAAGGACACCGAGTTCAACATACAATTTGTGCTATAGAATAATGTCTTTGTTATCCTGGTCTGAAAACGAATTCCCCTTATTATCATGATTCCTCTATACCAGTTCAACTGTGAATAAACAGGAAGCAGATCATCTTCACTTCATGTTTCTGCCACATCAAACAACACCATTTGGACCCAGCACGCAACTAAAAGTTTCTGCACTATACTGACTGCATTCCTCCTCTAGCAGAGCAGACCAGCAGCTGTGGGAGGATAAAGTGACTCAGGACTTTAAAGGGAAAGAAGAGGACACAAAAAAGAAGCCCCAAAAAGTAACTACACTCATATTTCCTTTTTATACTTCTAGAAAAGGACATCTGAAACCAGACTTGTTCCTCTTCTCCATTTTAAATAATAATGCAGAAAATAGGTTGAAGAAGAGCGCCTCTTCCTCCTAAGTCAAGTGTGAGTAAACATGAGTCACATAAAGAGAAGGAGAAGGGGGGTGATGGGGAAGAGAGAACAATGGAAAAGAAAAAAAGAAAGTTGCACACAATGAGGTCTGAAAATGAGAAATTACCTGAATATAAAAAATGTGCTTTAAAAAAAAGCATTAGAAGCGTTTTAGACTCTTGCATGATAGGACTCAGACACAGCTGTGTGCTTACATGCCTGCACATTTTTCTACTCTTCTCTGTGGGCTGTTCCTCCAATGACTCACCTTCTGTGGTTGATCTAGCTAATAAGAAGCAGTGCTGTGTTTTCATACATCCGTAAAACAGCTACGTTGGCAACCACACACACACACTCTCAGTCAGACACAAGGACACAAAGTGTTCAGGAACGTGGAGCTAATCAAAACTCTTTAACACAAAGATTTACTGTTCATTGTGCTCGTTGTTCATTGGAACAAAGACTCCCTCTCAGGATTTTACTTTTAAAACCCAGACACATATATGCAGTCACACACACTCACCTTTAAGAGAATGGGTCCCCTCGAAAGCTATCCCTGCCTCACAGAAATAAAACCCCCTGCTGTCCAGCGCTTTTACCCCCCAAATGAGCCTCACTGGCAGAGCAACAACACACTTCCTTTGTGTTTCCTTTGTGCAGCTGTTCAGCTCCGCTCAGTCGCCCCTATCTCCAGCCCTGTCAGCTGAAAACATATGTTTCCTGCTAAAATACTGCCAGCACGGGTCCCATGCATTTCGGAAACATGCGTACATATCAACACATGCACGCCACAAAAACACACACCAACATGCACGCATTAGATATGAGCATATGTGTACCCCACCCTCTCTGTCTGTGGTATCTGACATGCAGAGGCCCTGTTTTGGAGTCATCAAAAGAACTCCCACTATGAAACTGGCCTGAGTTTAAGACGTTTTCGTGGTGTGTCTTATAACATTTCATGAATATGAACAGACATCAACACAAGTTAGAAAACAGGAAAGTGAAACTGTGTGTCTTTAAATGTTATTAACCAACTTCCTAAAAGTGATCAACTCTTTTAAACGCTGACCAAAACTATTTGTTTGTGTTGTGTGCAGTTCTTTTTAGGCTAACTATTGGCTATCTGGAGACAAAGAAATATTAAATGTGAATTTATGTTTGCGGTGGGTTGGAAAACATTTTTTTATTAGAATTCTATCCATCTATACTTAGAATAAAATCTCTATATCAAGTGCAAAAACTAACATTACTTCAAATAATTGTATTCAAACAGTCAATGGATCAATAGCCAAGACATAGCTTCAGTAAATATTAAATAAACACTTTAAAGCCTCTTCTAACATTAAAGAGAAAAACGTTGTGCTGTTTGAAACAACCTGTGAAAAGAGTGGCATCCCAATGATAACTCATTCTGCTCATAAAGACCAGTGCCAATCATATGTTGGCTAAAAGTCAGACAAAGCAACAGGTTCATGAGCAAGCCTCTCTGATAGGACCAAGCCCAGTCTCAAAGTCATTAATAGTGGTTTGGACACACCCAATCAGTTAATAGGTGAAACCTGTATTAACGTATGCAGCCTGAGGAGAGTGTACTTCCCCTAGTAAGTAAGATATAAATGGAAGAAATTCAGAAATATTTGGAGCAGCAGCAGTCAGACTGTGAGTCATCTGCAGCTTCATTACAGCAGATTTAAGATGCACCACATAGCAAACGCATGCAACAGATGATACGACAGACACACACAAACACACTCATTGTTTTCTACAAATAGAATTAAGTTCCTCTTACTGTGCAGTCGTGGCATATTCAAAGAGACTGGTTTGATGTTCCGACCACAAATCTTGACATCTTAGCGGTGAGTTTACTGGACCATTAACATGTGTCTGTAATGATTACGGTGCGCTGAGGTTGTAAGAGTTGGAGGTGAGACATTCTTGTCTTCCAGTAACAAGGCCGAAAAGTCTAAAATTGTGAAAATGGTTTCACAGCGTGCAGGGAGCATAGTGGCATCTGACTAAAGATCAAATTATTGTTCACTGCACATTTTAAAGCATTTCTGAGGTTTCTTTTCCTGTCATTTTTCTATGGAAAAATATCTTATTTATTAGAGGTTGTAGGTGAACAGCCCATGCTGGCAGCCAGAGAGGGAACTAGCCGAGGAAACACCTTTGCAGTTAGTATTGTGGCACTTTTACTGCGTTATTTTCTTTGGCGCTGACATATACTACTTGGAGCACTCCAAATCTGTGGGATTGAATAATAAAAACTATTCCCATTCTCATGTCACAGCAGGTTGGCAGAGGTGGCAAATCTAAACCTCAAAACATGTTTTTGAACTGGTTTGACCTGCTGGGATCCCTAAACATGCATCAACAATCAAGGCGTTGTACAGTTAAGAAGTTAGCATGTGTGTAGCATGTTTGCTGATTATGTGATTTGGCATGCGATGTCATGTCCCTACTGAGCAGGAATTATGCATTCCTTACACAGGGGTTTTCGGTCAAGCTTCAATAAAGCAGCTATGATCCGTCTCTGAAGAAAGTTCCAAGGCACAAAGGGCGGCATTGTTGCCTTACAGACTCCCTCTGTGCACAATGTTTAGCCTTGAATTCCTTATCAAAAATACTCACAGAGCCAAAAGAGGCAGGTAGAAATAGCAGGTGTTGACATTAGAAATAAGTATAAACTGAAATAATGGAACATGAGACAGCTTTGTAGAAAGACATGAAAGGATGGAGAGAGGGGAGATAAATAAGTAAAGGGGGAGGTAAAACAGATCCCAAAGATCAGCCGAAGGACGATGAGTCGTCCTGAGTCATTCCAGCTTCCAGGACTTTACAGGGACACAGTAGGAGGCATTGACAGGATTTATAACCAGTTTTGACGCCATTAAATGCAGCAAAAAGTCACATAGGGAACTGTTTGTGAATGGGTGAGGGTTTTTGATTCAAGATTGAAGTGAAAGTGTGGCTTAGATAAAGCTCAGTATTGATTCCAGTGACACTTTCCGTTGTTCCCACAGTCTGACCAACGCTATCCTCTGTCTGACCTATACTTTTCTTACAACTTTTAAACACAACAGGCTCATCCAGTTACAAACACCAGTGTGAGGCACTAACACAGCTGACCCCACAGCCAGGAATGCACATAATGGATACAAACTCTACTTTCTCTAAACATGCAACATAGATTATCAGTGTGATGGAGAGCATCAGCGCTGACGGATGCCGGGGAGTAAAATTCCCAAAGAGCAAGCTCCAGATGCAAATCCAACTCATTAGCCTGATAAGTTTTTGGCTCCGAGTGGTTCACAGATACACACACACTCACATACCCACACACACTGAGATGAATCACAGTATCATAGCAAGCACGTTCACCGATAACAGACACACACTGAGGCCAGCAGCAGAGCACAAAATCACCTTGTTCTTTTAGAATATATAACATTATATCTTGCTTATATCTTAAAAGATTAAATGTGATCATGACGACATCAATTACTGTTTTTTACGTTATGTGAAGTACTTGGGATGAAGTGTGAGTGTGACGCTGAGAGGTCAGTCATACTTCTCACCAGTTTAAACAGGTGGATGTGGATGGCTGGAGGTAAATACAGAGCTGCTGAAGTCAGAGTGAGAAAGTGTTGGGATGCCAAATGAATGAGCGAGCACAAGGACATCCAAAATCACAGTTTCACCTCCCATCACAGACTATGAACCATAGAATGTCATCATTATCACAATAATTCTTTATCACATAGTCCACACCTTATTTGTTGGTCATTTTGAGTCAATTGTGTGTTTGAACTAATTGACTGATTTGATTACATGATATTTTAATTGATTTACTTTGAAATAAAAAGGGAGAACTACATGTCAAAATAACTCGATAGTATTATGTAATCTCAAACGATTCAACTGTATTTGTTATAGTACTTAACAGCGTTAATTGATCTTGATCTTTTGGTTAAAATATATTGATTCCTTTAAAGTGCAACAGAACTAGTGTTTTTCTTGACACATTAAATAATAACCGTGCAAAATGTCTAAGAAAGTATAACCATCCAAGGAACTCTTCAATCCCAGATAATTTGGAAGTGTATGGTATGAATTCAGAGTAGAACATAACACCAATTAGCAGAATAGAACGCTGATGCTTCCCCCATAGATCCGCATTTCAGTAAAATACACACGAATAAACAAGCTCTTACCAGAATAAAAGTCTCCTGAGTCGTTATCTTCTGAGTGTGTTTGCAGCAGTAGTGAGTGTCCTCAGTCTGAGCTCTTTACCCCTTTTTGCTGAGTTTTTATCGGAGCTCTCCGGTTGTCCCGGTGCGTGAAGGGGGAGGGATCAGCGGGGAAGCTGTCCGGCCGGATGATGATGCAGCCTGCTGGGCGTTGCTGCTGCAGACGGGACAGTCCCAAAGGGGTTTTCATCTGTGAATAATTTCATCAGAAAATCTGTAATAGTTCTATGGAATTCATCATTTGATTAAATCTAAAAAAAAAGAAAAGAAAAACTAGAGTCAGGATTTATTTAATATACTCTGATCTGTTTTTAAGAGATGTTGTTCTACATGTATGTTAAAAACAGCCCACCTATCAACACCTGTGATCAAATATAAATATACTATAACATCTAACATTGTGAGAAGCATGTCGAGACATATCATTGTAAATAGTTCAACTTTAAGAAACCTTAATTATTATAAACACATTTTGAAAATATTAGGACACAGATAGAAAAAAATGCTGTCAAGCTGGAAAATAAGTAAAACAGGTAAACATTATGTATAAGGGAAGTAACCTCATACAAGAACATATTAATAATCAATAAACATATTACTACATTATGAACATCAGGCTAAGAAGAAGCCCAAGCATGCACCACATAACACTTCACCACACATAAGATGGTATTTGAAATTAGGTATACTGTATTTTATCATTAATAAATGATTTAACTAAATCTAAAACTACCAGAGCTTTTAAGTTGAAGTGTGCAGTGCTATGAAAAGTGCCACAATATTGATTTATCAGGCTGTGATTGTCTGTGTGTAACACTGTATCTGTGTGGTTAACCACCTGGCACCAGGAGTCATTTGTTATAACCACAGTCCTCTTTATTCAACCCACCCCTTCCTCAGGAAATCTGTCACTATGCCTCAAGAATAGCTCCATCTTTTCTTAGCACCCACATAGATTTGATTTGCATTGGATAATTCATGTTCAGTGTTTTTACTGTCTGTTAACTCCGCATTAAATAGCTGAAAACATGGTATTTAAGGATTCGAGGATTTAATGGGCCGTGGTAGATATTGGTGTCTGCCATATTTGCTTCCATCTGTGTTAGATTTGACCGCACTCCCACTGCATGATGATGAAAATCACACACACAACTTAATTATTGAATATTTACTCTACACCTCCCTTGTGATGAATTTAAAAAGCATTCCAGTTATCCTTGATTTGACTGCCCATCAATTACATTGTGCAATGATTGGCAATACAAGACATTTCGGAAACTAGACAAACCACTTTTTTAAACATTTCTGTTTACTGTCTTCATGTGTGGGTGAATGTTTCCACGATTCCATGGACGCAGACTCTAACCCAAAACAAAGTATCAAATGCCACGTATAATGAATGTACAATGAACTCTTTTGGTTAAGTTTTAGCAAGACACAACTTTTTATTTGTTTTTCAAATACAAATTAGCTGAGAGGATAGCCCTTGCTATTTTATTATAGACAAATATATCAGTGGTATCGATCTTTTCATACTGGTGATTATTGAAAAGCATTTAAGCCTATTTAGCAAGATGTCTGACTTTTCCTTTGGTGGTTACATTTCTACAACACATCTAGTGAAGACACACATCAACATTTACAAAAAGGCATCAACAGATATGGCAAGGCAAGTTTATCTATAAAACCCACACACACACAGAAGCAGCTAAAAGTGCTTTACATGAGGTCAAATAAGGTTTGAAACAGGTAAGAGAAAAAGGAGTGTAAAACAATACAACAAATAATAATAGGAGACAAGAAAAGACAAGATAAGTGCAATTTCAGACCAAATCAAGTTGTTGATAAAGTTCCAACAGGGACATTTGGGGAGTATATTACATTACATTACATTAATCGATATTAAATCACACATGACAAGATGTGGGCCTCAACAATGTCAGTGTGATGGCCACAGCCACACAGGGTAATACAATTACGCTGCACCCTCACCTTCAGTAGTTTTGCTTCAGTTCAGGTGCAGTAAAACATGCCAATTATTAACACCACACATTTGATTAAAATGGTAAACTCTTTATTTGCTTGTAATCAGACTTTACTGAGTTTATTTTCAAACATTTTAGCACAGCTAACACAAGTATTTGCTGGTATTAATTACTTTGTCTTTGAGTTACTGTGGCCGTTGGGGGGGTTAGTTCCTGGTTTAGCAAAAGGTGAGGTTGAGCGCTGAGGAGTGAGGACTCGTAAATACTGCAAGCAGCCAATTGAGACAGATTGGGACAAATCACCTGCTTCCATGTCAAAGAGGGGATTTGGGTTTTGTCAGTGTCCTCTTTGTCTTCTGTTAATCTTAATTACCCCTTGGTTTGAACTTGGTTTGGCCAGACCACTATACTGTAAGTCCATTGGGTTGTTATTGTAATGTAGCAGGTCAGTTTGTTGAGTTAACACCTGTTAAGTTGATGGCATGTTTATTTGAGGCATTTTCTGTTGACCTCTTTTATAGGCCTAGTTATTAGATATTATTGGTTTATAATGTTTTCTTTGGATTTTTGGGTAAATAAAAACCCAGTTAATTTAAACAACTCCTGTGTCCAGTTGCCTTACTGCTTGGTCCCTGACAGTCACTTATTAACTGTAAAGGTTGCTATGGCAATAAATGTTCAACTGAAATGTTGGAGGCAGAATTAAAAGGTTCAAATTAAACAGAACAACATAGTGGAGAATAAACTCTTACTACCTAATTGAGGACAACATTTAAGGCATTTCCCCAGGCTACGTTTACGTAACTGAACTAATCTAAATAAGACAAGAAAGGTCTCATCATGACGTCAGAACCCTCTCCTTGAGTAAAATCGTTCCTGGGGAAAAATCAGGAAGCGCCATAGTTTGTTAGAATAAACAGGAACATATTTCTACAAACATTTACAATCTGATAGTGCTCCTTACACAGATCACGTCAGAGGAGCATCAGATATGGCCTGACCCTGGATGCCCTTGTGTTTCTGCCTCCCCTGCCCAGCTGTGTCTTGTCCTGTGATTACCCCTCTTTGTATTTAGTCTTGTCTTCCCCTGTGCTCCTTGTCGGTTCATTGTCTTTCCTGTCTCCCTCCATGTTGGTCACGGTCAGTTTTTGTTTTGATGCTACCTTGTGCTACCTGTTTATTTTATGTCATGTTTTGTCAGTCATCAGCTTTATAAAATAAAGCTCGCCTTTTGTTCCTTGACCTTTTTGCCTTTTTTATTCTGAATTTGGGTCCTACCTTTTTCCCGAATCCTGACAATAACAGGTGATGAAATAAAAAACATCACTGGTTTAATCTGGAAATTCTGAAGTGCATCCTCTATTTATACAACACCCATTTGATCAACAATGATACTGCAAAAGTGAAAGAATGGAACAAAATAATAATAATATTGGATTAAGTTAAAGACACATTAAGCAGTTTGATTAACAAAATGTATTTCTAGTTATTTAGAACTCTTATTAAAGTTTGTTTTTAAATGATGTAATTGGTATTTAGTTTTAAATAAGTATTGTAACCTCCATCAGATGTTGGATGACCTTAATCCTCGATCTTCTTGGAAATGCATTTGAGTACATATTCATATGACTAATAAAATGAAAACGGCATAACAAAATAGTTTTTGCAAACCATTTGAGTCACAGTATCTGGATATGTGTGCAATATATTTTGAAATAATTATGATCCAGTTTTTATAAAAACAAGAACCACCTAAAAAAAGGTTATGAAAAGAAAGATAAACAAAAAGCTTTTCCAGCTTGAGAGGAGGTGTAATTTTCAGGGTAAGATGTGACGTATTATTTGTTCAGCAGATAGGGGGTGACTCTGCTGCCCTGAATGGTAATAATTGTATTATGTCCATTCCCAAAGCAGTGGCTGCCACAGACTCCATAACATCAGTAAAATCATTGATTGTGCTTTTGTTAGGTTTCACACTTCTTTATTGACTAACAGATTATCCCACATAAATTAATGAGGTTAAAATGTTAACATAGGTTCAGGAGCATGGCCACGCCTAAAACTCCGCCTCAAACCACGGCCACCCCTATTTATATCCGGCAAAACTTCCGGCCACCGCTTGTCTCCATCCTTTCAACCCACCCTCCCTCTCCCTTTCTACCTATACAGTTCCCCTTCCGTCTCATACCGAGCAATACATCCATCCATCCCTTCTTCCCTCCCTCCCCTCAACATCCCTTCATCCCTCATCCCTACATCCCTTCATCCCTCCATCCCTCATCCCTTCATCCTCATCCCTACATCCCTTCATCCCTTCATCCCTACATCCCTCATCCCTCCATCCCTCATCCCTCCATCCCTACATCCCTCATCCCTACATCCCTCATCCCTACATCCCTTCATCCCTCCATCCCTCATCCCTTCATCCCTCCATCCCTCATCCCTACATCCCTCACCCCTACATCCCTCATCCCTACATCCCTCATCCCTTGGTCCCTCATCCCTTCATCCTTCATCCCTACATCCCTTCATCCCTCCATCCCTCATCCCTTCATCCCTCATCCCTCATCCCTACATCCCTCCATCCCTCCATCCCTCCATCCCTCATCCCTCATCCCTCCATCCCTTCATCCCAACATCCTCTGCCCATCACCATTTATATTTAAACGGTGCATATTTATATACTGCGTACACTAACATTCAATTCCAGGTATCGTCTGGGGGCCCGTAATCAGTCCACGCAGATCATGCCGGAGACGGAACCCCCACTCTGAGTCTCCCACTGCACGGACCATAGCTCGTCCTCCCAGATCATCCCTTCACCCCCCTCATATCATTCACATGTTACTTCAATAAATGTACAAACATCACACTGTTGTGGCGTGGTTCCTGCTAGTGAATTATACTTTAAATGTCAGAATTAAATGTACCTCGGTGACCTCATGGGCTTCTTTCTGGGAAGATGACATAAATGAAAACTATATTCTCTAATTTATCAATTTTACCATTTTGTAAACAAATTGATGTAAATGCTTCATAATATTGAAGGACCAAAACCTGCACCATACATTTTTTATTATTGTATATATATTGTATTATTTAATTGTGTGGTAATGAGAAATCGATCGACACCTCCAAGCCGATCAGTATCCATAATATTTAACATTTTTATTTTATGTAAAATAAAAGCTAGTATTTCTACAACAAAATAATGGTATATTTCAAATGTGTACATGTGGAACATTTCAAGTTGAGTTGCACAAAATGAATTGCAGACTGAAATGACATGATATACGTTCTTCTCAGTGAGCTCAATATCTATTTTCACATAAAATCATCTTAAAACAGATGAATAATATATATGTGTAAACATGTGAAACTTTCTGGTTAAGCGTAGACCTGCAGCTGCCAGCTGCTGGAGACTGAGCCTCTTTGTGGGCGGGTCCTTCAGGTTTACAGGAAATGTGAGTATCAGGAAGTCGAACGTTTTTGAGATTTGTTGTGTCGGCGAAGTGACTACCAAAATGTCCAACGTTTAACTTGTGTATATATATACAGAGTGTTAAAGAAAAGCAGGTGTGAAAGCTGCCTCCGAAGTCTAAGGTAGGATTTAGTTTAAATAAGATGCTACTTTGGAGCGCATGTCTGCATTAAATAAAACCCGAAAACATGTCTCTGCAGTGTTTGTTATAACTTCAGACAACAGGAAACACGAACATAAGGATAACCATGTTCTGTCATTTCAGTATTAAACAGGCCTGTTAATACAGCATGTGTAATAACTACTGCAGCCACTGACTGTGTTACCCGAGGTGGAAGAAGAAGGCTACTTAGCTCTTATTGAATAATACAACAGTGTAGAAATTATTTGTATATTAAGTGTATTATCATCAAAATATAGCCTACTTACAAAACCAAAAGTATAAGCACTCATTATGCAGAATACTACTAATTATTTCATTGGATTACATTACCCCTTCAATGTTGTAGCTGGTAAAGTTACAACTTTATTCAAATCACATTATAAAAGATACTGTTGGATGGCTTAATCATTAATAATACACGCTTATGTATTAATTAACTATATTTTTGTATTAATATCCGAATCTGAAATATGTAGTGGAGTAGTAGTGTGAGATGTGATGGAAAAAAGCATAAAGTTCCATATATGGCAAGTACAAGTAGGCTACCTCAAGATTGTTGTTAAGTACAGCCGCCTAGTAACTTGGGTAAGTTAAGTCCTCAAATATCAACTGTACAGGCTATTCACTTGTTTTTATAAAGATAACAACAAGGCACTTCTTCTAATGCCATCGTCAGGCTACATTGTAAAATTGTTGTGTGGTTAAGATCTAATATTAGCAAAGTTGTTTCTCCATATTCTACTAATCATACAATTAAGTTTTCTGGTGTGAGCTTCAGGGGGCCACAATGTGTATAACTGTTGATTATTGTTATTGGTTGCCTGGGGTGAAGGCTCAGCGTCCGAGGCCATGAATCGAGTCCCCCTGCAGCAGCAGCAGAGCTGTGGGTCCTGGGAGCGGAAGGAGCGTCTTGGCACCGGAGGCTTTGGGAACGTCACAAGATGGCAAAACAAGGTATCCATCCACACTTTAAACACGCTGTCTGCATCATTGTCCCCATTCGAGAACATTTTATTTGTTGCAGTGATAGAACATGGTCATAAACCTGAAAAAAGGAAGTTTAAATGATGGATTATTACAGTGACTGAGCTTTTTAATTACTAGTGAGGAAAAAAACAAATGTTGACATGGTGACGTTTCCCAGCCGCCCATCGTTCCATAATCAAAATCAAAATAATTGTTTTACTTTTGTTGTTATATTGGCACCAATAAGTATGTATAATTAGCTCCAAGGAGTTCCTGTTGGCAATGTATCACTACATGTACAGTCAGTTATCATAGGATTACCTGGATACTAAAGAGAACATAAAAAACCTGATGATTCTCTGATGAAGAAGGTTCAATAATTTAGAAGGATTTTCTTTTTCTATAATTTAAAAGGAAGCTTGTTTGCAATAGAGGAATAGGTTATAATTATATCTTCAGGAAGAATAAGTCATACTGAATCTAAAAATATGTGTATTATGTCTGTGTGTTGAGATTTTACTGCAATATCTCAGAGAAGTGACAAAAGAATTCCTAAACATATTGCCCTTTGCACCCCCCTCTTAACTCACTGTTTGAAAGTCTCTGCCTTAAGACAATAGAATTGCGCCGAAAATGCTTGCCTGCACTCAAATCCATGTTTTTGATAACTCTTTAGTTTACATCTTGCATACCAAAAAAAAGAACTGTAAACCGAATTTGTTCAAATGGGTTGTATGACATCAGGAGGGAAGCTGTCTCTTAGTCCTACAGAAAGCTATTGTAATGATAACCATTCGAGTCACAGGATGAGGGAATTGTAAAGTTGCATTTGCACAATATGGGAACAAGGACCTTCCTCTTCCTCTTCCTCTTCCTCTGTACGTGTACTTGAGTTGTATAAGTCACACTAACTTTCAAGGCACAATTAGACCTTGCTTTGAGCCAGACAGCATCAGCATTTGAATGTAGTTATAGAAGTGATGTCGAGTCCAAACGGCAGGAAAGCATAATTTCAAATACTTTAAAATATAAAAGATTATTATACAAACGCAACAGCGTTTTTTGACTTCTCCCTGTTCGGCTGCATTCCCGAGCATTTCCTGCATGATTTGGCGTCAATTACACATGCTGTGTATACAAGTCTAGAAATTAGCAAAAATAAGTTTGTCATGTTATTTAATTCTACTGCAATTTACAGTAAGCAAGAAGTAATCTTCAATAGTAAATTATGTATTGTTAAACGTTAAAATCACAGCGAAGCATCAATGATGGCAGAGCAGTGTTTAAGAGGAAATGAAAATTACTATAAAGGGCACTGCTAATGCTGTGATGTTTTCCCGTGTTCCTTCCTTAATGAGAATACTATAAGCTATTATTAGTTGATAGATGAAGTTATGGGAAGCAGGGACTTCACTTCCTTTATAAGGATTTCCCCGATTTCCTTCCTTAATGACAATACGATAAGCTATTATTAGTTGATTTATGGGAAGCAGGGTGGGTGTGCTTTCCTCGTTGTGATACTTGTGTTGCTCATTATTTTTGGCAAGTTGTTAAATTCAGATTGTGTTTAGTGATTTGCAGGAAAAGTTGTAGTCGTTTATGTTTTGTATTTGTATATTTGTCATGTTTTGTTCTCCATTCCCTCTCTTTTTATCAATTATTATTAAGAAATACATTGGCAACGACCCTACTGTTAAACATATATCCCCTGCTATGTACCGTCTCTAATGTGTTTTATTAATGTTCTATTGGTAACTGTTTACTGAAACAATGAATACTTGTTTAAATAGAGAAAATAAAAGGCTGATATTTTCAATAAAAAATGAAATATTAGTTTCTGCCCTAAATCTAAACGCACAATGAACCATAACAACTTTAACAACTGAACTACAGTATAACAATGTGTGTGTGTATGTGATTTCAGGACACAGAGGAACAGATTGCTATAAAGCAGTGTCGTCAGGAGCTGAGCGAGAAAAACAAAGAGAGATGGTGTCTGGAGATCCAGATCATGAAGAGGTAAGTTTCACACTTGCACACAGCCTACTAAAGGGCCTCAGAGCAATAACAAAAAAAACTTCCTTTTGGATCCAATCGGTCTCTCTCTCTCACCCTCAAACACCATTCATGTACAGGACACTCAACAGCTTCAATATATATTTGCAATATGTGTTATTTTCTTGGCTGATTGCCTTTATTAGATATTTTACAGTGCAGGTGAAGACAGGAAATATATATAGAGAGAGAGAGACAGACACAGACAGAGTGGGAGGCAACAAAGGTTATGTGTTTTTTGTCATGACCATTAAGACACCAGACCACTCTCCAATCAGTGTTTGTGATTTAAACAGAAATGTATGTGGGACTATGTATGAACCATATAAACACAAACGTAACTACAATATTAAAGCTGTAAAATGTATTTCGTCACAGGCCATGTCCTCAGTATTTGGCAATAAAGAAACACCTGACTACTCTTCTCTTAGGTCAAGCTAAGATAATAGTCACATTTCATTTATGATTTAATAAAAATTACCAAAGGTACAATAAGTTCTCATCAGGCACTGTTTTGTATTCAAAATCAAGCAGCAGCAATTAGTTGTGCAACATACAGCAACTTCTTTTGTTTGTTTTTGGTTTGACCAACGCACCTTGCCTAAGTTTGTCTCTCTGTATACAAATGATTCAGGCTTATTCATCTTACTGTTTGACATATTTCACTTAGCCGTCCAAACTATTTCATGCTTTGCCTTAAAGCTCTGTTTGGCACGAGAGACAAGTGTTGGTTTGACGTGTTGTAACTCACCGCGGTACATTCCATGACACGCTCGGGGCTTATGAGTTTGACATTTGACTTTATGTACCCATCTGTTTCACAAGTTTTCTCAACAGGCAAGAAAAAGCTTAATTTGTATCCTGAAATAGTAGAAATCACTCAAGACATTAAAACATTAGGACAGCATGGGCGTTTGGGTTATTTCGGTCGGTTGGCGGTTATTTCTGACAGGATAATGTACCGCCTCCTCATTTTGCTTTGCGTTGGAGGGTTTGATTTCCCTACACGTCTGCTTTGTCTATTACCGGTCTTAGTTTGGGTGTCGGGTCACTGGAGCCGGATCTCAGCTCATGCAGGTTTTGATTTTTTTTGTGTAGTGTGTGTGTTTTGTCATTTGCTGGTGCAAACAGGATTATAAAACCATTTATTTCCTAGTTCCAGTTTAACAAGTGTGTTGTTTTCAGACAGACATGGTCAGGACCACAACCCTTCGTGCACCCACGCTCAACTTGTGGAAAAACCACAGGGCAGGGGACACATACATGGCACCCTACCATTATATTATTACAGCTACTTAACAAAGATGTCCACATGCTTATATAACAACACATCAATTTCAGTATGTTTTAGTTATAGGTTCAAGGGTCAAGGTTCTTTATTGTCAAACTAACATAGCTACAGAGTAATTATGTCGTTGAAAATCTTATGTCACAGGCTTCTCCAACAATGCAACATAATAATACAGATAGTAAAAGTAATACAAAAAGAAAAATAGTTCTAAAATAAAGTGAGTATGTGGAATAGTGCAGTACGAATCTATATACAAGTTATTGGAATGATATATATTAGATAGTAGATATATATTACTAAGTAGCAGATGAATGTTTTGAAATTGTTTCAGCAGTTCAATTGTTTAACAGTCTCACTGCCCGCGGGAAGAAACTGTCTCCGAATCTTTTTGTTTTTGCCAGGATGCTGCGGTAACGTCTGCCAGACGGCAACACAAAGAACAGTTATATTGTGTTTACAGCGCTTGTATTGTAAGACCATCTGCTGAACAACAAGAACAAATAGTTTATCAGACAATCTTGTTCAGGTTCACTGTTTTATCCCACTCTCTCTAACTCTTTTTGTACCCACGCCCCCAAACTTGTGTTTCATGTAAGCTGAAGAGAGGCACAACAAAGAGAGAGATTAGAGTGAGAGAAATACTGTCCATTATGCTAAAGGTTTGCAGGGGAAAGATAACATCTTACTGATAACAACTTAACCACAGCTTATGATTCTTGTAAAAGGTATCATACATCGCCATCGTCTGCATCTCGAATCAGTTTGAGGTTGTTATCTTTATTTCTCTTTTGTTTTTTTCAAAAAGTGCCTGACCCTGTGAGTATCAGGAACACATTGTTTCAATCAAAGTTATAAAACAGCAGGAAATGTGAAAAAGACCAAATTAACAGAGCAGGTCAAGGGAGTATTGGGATGAGTAAACTGATGAAAAGGTTTGCCCGTTATTGCGAAAGTAAGCCGTTTTAGTTTTTAGATACAGCAAATGACATGACATGCAAGAAAAATATTATTTCTGATTGATGTCATGCAGGTATAAGCTGAGAAAATGATGTATCGTGTTTTTTCATAAAGGTTAGTCTAGATATGGGAAATGCCTCCCAAGAGGTTTCAAGATCAATCTGAGGAGTAGATCAACACGATAGTGGGGGGGGGGGGGGGGGAAATATAGTGGTCTACATGTTTTTTCAGACTTTTCTCAAATCTCTGTAATGTGAAATTCTTTAAAACCTACTCAAATAACTCTCTTTTAAGCCTTACAAAGGAAGACTCTCTTACAACTCTTCAAAAGAACTGCACAATGACTGCTATGTTTATAAATATTTAACGTCTAAAATGGCAGCCCTAGGAGGTGGATTATTGCGGAGGTTTATATCTGAATAACAAATATGAAACGATAACTTCTGCTCCCACTAACTGATGTCTGCTCCTCTTTACTCTCATAGGTTGGATCATGGCAACGTTGTCGCAGCCCGAGAGGTTCCTGAGGGAATGCAGAAATTGGTGTTCACCAATGACCTGCCGCTGCTGGCAATGGAGTACTGTCAGGGAGGAGATCTGAGAAAGGTATATATATATATATATCTGGGATGTGTTTGGGAATGTGTGTGCACAAATGTAGTTCAGGACACTGGATAAGAGCCCTTAGTCCTTTCAAGGAGCAGGAATCGTTTGTGTTGATAATCCTTTTTACATGACTTCCTTCAATAAGATCAGACTGTGTTTGTGGAATAAAGAATACAGGCGCATCAAAATGTCCCTTTTTTTTTACTGGGTTTAAGATGCTCACCCATAAATGTTTTTTAATCTGAAACAAACTAAGTGTGCAGCCTGAGGAGCTAGACGATGTTGGCACCAGGCAGCCAGTAGAGGAGGAAAATGTCAACCGTCACAAACCACAGTGTCATAAAACATTCAAAGCATCTTAGACGGCCAAAAACGAAAAGGTTGACTCTTTAATCCCGCCTGCCACAAGTTTCAAGTAGTTTTAATTGTATTGTTTCAAGTAAAACAAATCAAAGGATTTACAACAGAAGTGCTAATTTGCCAATTTGTAAAATTACTTTTAGTTTGAATCTAAAAAAAAATTATCTAAAAAATCTAATCAACAGCCTCGTGAAAGAATGATCTGTTCGTGTATTAGAGAAAGTTGATACTAGTGATCGTTTTCTGCTTGAATGTGAGCCGATCATGACATCCACTTTATGTCTGATCCCTTCCAAACACATGTACTTGGGGCGGTGGTGGCGAAGTCCATAGGGACTTGGATTGGCAACTGGAAGGTCACCAGTTCAAGTCCCGGCAAGACCAAGTGCTACCGAGGTGTCCCTGAGCAAGGCACCGTTCCCTACACTGCTCCCCGGGCGCCGTTCATAATGGCAGCCCACTGCTCCTAACACTAGGATGGGTCAAATGCAGAGAAACCATTTCATTACATAGTACCTGTAATGACCATAAAAGTGCAAAAAACAAATACAAAAAATACTTAATGAACAGGAAATGGCCGTTTTATAAAGAAAAGCAGAACCTTGTAAAACATTAATAAAGAAGACATATTAATGCTATTCTTTGTATCATGTGTCTGTTTGTTCTCTCTGCAGTATCTGAACCTCCTGGATAACTGCGCTGGAATGAGGGAGGGCTCTGTTTTGATTCTGTTATGTGACATTTGTGAGTATCCTGCCCGATCCCCGGCTGTAATGGGACTATAACAACATTTTCAAGCATGTGGAGATGAAAGTGAGGGATTCATGATGTGATGCGTGATTAGTTTCCTGTAGTACGGACAATCATGATGTCATCAATGACCCTTAACCACCAACCTCTTAGTCACCATGGCGACACGTCACGCTCAGACGGAGGTCTACGTCAACAATTGGCAGCTCACGCTTTGACCCAAACATGATGTAAAAATGCTCACATCAACCAGACCTTGTATACATTGTATATTACACACTGTATACACAGCGACATAGTACACTTATGGGATGGATCACACAGAGTAAGAGTGTGTAGAGAGTAGAGTAATCAACACACACACACAAACACACACACATAAACTCACACACACATTCACACGCACACACACACACACACACACACACACACACACACACACACACACACACACACACACACACACACACACACACACACACACACACACAGAAACTCCTTCTACTGTTACCCACTAGAGGACATTTCCTGATAATGAGTGATCACCTTAAAACTGTAAAGAGTGAGGGTAAAGACATAGTCATGCACATCCACACCCTAACACACACACACACACACACACACACACACACACACACACACACACACCACACACACGCTCATACAGTCAGGTGCTCCAATGGTTACGAGTTCCGCTTTGTTGAACACTCTTTGCCAGCACACACGCTACTCACCCTATGACGTGTACAATAAAGTGACATTGTGGTTTCTGCTGAGACAAAACATATTAGACATTAACTTCAGTTAGAGCACACTAAAGGCTACATCATGTAAATACCGGTCTTATCATCTTATGGGCTCTATCAACCCTCATCCAACCAATTGGTTTTTCTTCTTGAATTATCATTGATTATGTAAATGATTAATTTGCACATCAAACTGGTTGCGGTCAATTTGCATTGTTCGCCGATGTCTAGTTCACATACTTTGTTACTTTTTTCATATGAGAGTAAGCCAGGAATCTTCAAATCATTTACAAAGCATTCACCTTGTACTCTGCATTCTTTTTTCTTCTCATTTCCTCATGACTCTTATCCCTTCTTATTCTTTCTCCCTTCAGCGTCAGCTCTTACCTACCTCCATAAGAAGAGGATCATCCACAGAGATTTGAAACCAGAAAACATTGTGCTGCAGCAGGGAGAGAAGAGAGTGCGTTAATGACCCTGTGAACCGTGTTTTTATGACAAATACACCCTAACCACAACAGAGAGGTTTATTTTAAAGCTTTTTGTCTCAGTGTGGGTTTTGTCCAATAAGTGCAGGAAACTTGACTCTCACGTCCACATGTTTACCCTCCACAGTTAAGCACAACTTTGCTGTACTGGATATTTCATTTGGAAAACTCACTCCTTTAGATTTGCACTTCATCTCCTACCTTCCTCTATGAGTCTACTTTTGATTTTACTTGTTGCATCCCCCAGCCTGCAGTAGATCAACAACAAATTATGAATGTCATATACATGAGGCCAGACATATAAAAAGGTTATATATTCACATTTATGCACATTGCTAAGTTTATAGAAACAGACTATATCTGCGCCAAGTTTACAGTTGAACACTTGTTTTTGTCTGGCATACACTTATCTAAGATATAGACTTTTTGTCTGTCAGATATCAACACAATATGTTTGCCAGCACAAATAAAGCACAAATAAAGCTGTTTTTAATGTTTTACAGGGATTATGCTGACCTTTACGAAACAAATCAAACTCCAAGATGTAGAGCTATTCCTTTAAGTTATTAATTTGTCAATGTAGAATGAAAAAAATGCTGATAACACTTTTTTTTCTCCCCTTTTATTCTTAGTTGATCCACAAGATTATTGACCTGGGCTATGCTAAAGAGCTGGACCAGAGCAGCCTGTGCACCTCATTTGTGGGAACTCTTCAGTACTTGGTAGGTAATTAAAACACATTTTCCACATGATCTTCTCACCATACGCTGGACAGTAACCGCTGAACATGTTTTCTCTTCCCTCCTCGAGGCTCCAGAGCTCATTGAGAGACAGAAGTACACGGTCACTGTGGACTACTGGAGCTTCGGGACCCTGGTGTTTGAGTGCATCACAGGATTTAGGCCTTTCTTACCAACCTGGCAACCTGTTCCTTGGTAATACCACATTTTGAAACTGCTTTTACCTGAACTAAGTTGTTGATTTGATTTGTTTAACGTGAAGTCGTGTTTTTCAGGCTATTTCGACAGTTATGCAAGTCTAAATGCCCACATTTCTCACTTTTCAACTCCTATTTTCACTCTTTTTTTTGTTGCTTTTATACCTTTCTTAAGACAGGTTATCTTTTGCAAAACAAACCTTAACAATGACGTTTATCAACATTAAGCACTGAAATGAAGATTTATTGCTATGTGACTGGCACACGGGGACTATATAAATAAACAATGCCAAAGCAAAGAATTGCAGGATATGTGGGTTGTGGCAACTTCAATGCCCCTTGTGCCTCACTAATATAATGAATAATAGATATGAAACTCATATGGGGGGGGGGGGGTCTGGTTACATGTGAAAATACTCCCTCAGTAGAGGTTCAGTTTCTGGCATGTAACTTGTTGCGTTTGCAGGTTGGAATTTTCCATTATCAAAAAGCAAATAAAATGTGGGAAAAAACATTTGTGCACAATATTCAACTCCAGAGATTTTAAGGACTTTTTTCTCATGTAATCCATCGGTATTATTTCAGGCACAACAAACTGAGGCTGAAGCAGGACAAAGATATTGTCGTCTACGAGGACCTCTTGGGGGACGTCCGTTTCGGTCAACATCTTCCTCAGCCCAACAACCTCAACAGGTGATTTTGTCAATGACAGACATACACAAAAAAATACTAATCTGATACTCCAATTATCTCAGTCTAATATGTTGGCTGGTGTTTTGCAGTCTGTTATTAGAGAGACTGGAGAGGTGGCTACAGCTGATGCTGAAGTGGTCTCCTCAGGAGCGCGGCAAAGAGCCCGGCGCTGCACCCATGGACTGCTTCTCCCAGCTGCAGGTCGTTCTGCAGCTCAAGGTCAATTGAGTATTTCATTCATTTATTATTTTCATGTTGTCTTACTTTCATGTTTTTATTGTTCAGTTAGGCCTCAGTGGTCTGATGTTGATGATATTATATTAGTAAAAGACAAAAAGTTAGGAAAACATTCCTAACTTTCTAAGAGCCAAATCAGTGTTTACATTTTATAGAATTAGCACAGATGTGCACCTTTTTTGATTTAGACAAACTCGTTTTTCACATTCTTTCTGCAATGTGTTTGGTCTTTGTCTCTTCCCTCAGCTGGTCCATGTCCTGAACATGATTTCTGCTAAAATCCTGACCTACTCTGTCTCGGAAGAAGAGACTGTGGCCGACCTGCAGCTCAGGATAGAGAAAGACGCCAGCATCCCTGCAGCCAATCAGGAGCTGCTGCTGGAAGCGGGACTAGCCTTGGAGCCTCATGGACTGGCCACACAGTGCGCCATAGATTACTCAGTAATATCAGCATCAACACAGCACATGCAATACCTTCACAAAATAATCAACAGGAAATGTTATAATGGAGTGAGTTATAGAAATATTGTTATCTTTGTCTGTAGGAGATAGATGGGCGACGGACAGACTTGCCTCTGGTCTTCCTGTTTGATCGTTCCTCTTGCAGTTATGAACCTCAATTTGCTCCTCGCACCCTTCCAGAAAACATTCGCTTTGTCCGTGAGTACACAACAATAAGCTAACCTGTTGCTATCTATAAACATTTATTGGCTTAAACACCATGGATACATTTGCTTCAACTTTTCAATTATTTGGGTTTTTGTATGTATGTATCAAACATACAGCCTATATGACACTAACACCTTTTTTTACTACCTTAGTAAGATGCCTTTGCTCTTGTGTGACTGTGTTTCTCTCTCTCTGGTTCTTTGTCTTTGTCACAGAACACGACCCTAAACACGTTCTAGCTTACAGCTCTCTGAGGAGAACCTGCGGCCAGGCGTGGCACACCATCCGCTCCCTGAAGGAAGACTGGCAAAGACTGCAGCAGGGCCAGAAAGCTGCCATGTAGGGCATACACAAATACACACACAAACTCCCACACGCAACATACGCATGCATTTAATAAAACAAACACATTTCTTTGCCTCTTTCTTTCAGCATGAGCCTGCTGAGACACAACTCTTCACTTTCCAAACAGAAGAACGAGATGGTGTCCATGCACCAGAGACTCATGGCCAAGCTGGACTTCTTCACCACCAGCCTTCACATAGACATGGATAAATACCAGGAACAGACAGCAACTGGGATCGGTACTATTTAAAAAAAATAAATAAGCATGTTTGTACAGAGCAGGAATTTTACACTACAGCTGCCAAAACTACATTTAATCCGTCCTTTAATGTTAATTATGATTTGCCTAATTTGGTAGAAAGTGCACCTGAATGGCTAGAAGAATTTAGTTTGCCCCTGACTAATGATAGTGCTTTTATATTTGTAGCGTCAGAAAAGCTCCTGGGCGTGTGGAGGGAGATGGAGCAGACTGCTGTCAGCTGTGGTCAGGTAGAGTTGAGTGTGTTTATGTGTGTGTGTGTAAGAAGTAGTCACATGTGCATTGAAGACAATAAAACCCATGTGTGTGTCTAGGCCAAGGTCAGTGAACTGGAGGAGGAGATGATGCAGCTGCAGCCAGACATAGTGGATGTGCAGAGACAGCCCTGTAGGAGTGGAGAGGCCCTGGACACACTGTAAGTGCGAACCAAACTCAACTTTAAAAACTGAAGAAATGAACTGCTTTGTGATCTTTAACCCTGCTCTCTTCCTCTCTTTGTTCCTCAGGGAAGGAAAGGCCATGGAAATGTTTCGCAAACTCCGAGAGAAACCCAGAGGTTTGGATAGCATGCCTCTGTTCGCCTTTTCATAACAATCATTACGGTGTCTCCATGTGAAAATAAACATGGCTTTTTTTTTTTTTTTCCCTGCTCAGACCAGAGGTGCCCAGGGGACGGTCAGGAGGTGGTGCGCCTGGTGGTGCAAGCTGTGCAGTTCTACGAGAGGAAGCTCCGAGACTTCTACACACACCTCAGGTAATAAGACACAAAACACTATATATTTTCTGAAAGTCTTAAAAGAAAATCGAACAAAGATGTAGCTCAATCTGAAACTGAATGAGTTCTGAGCAGCTCTGAATTTGCAATGCATTACTGTATCTGTATGGAATGGAGCAAGATATTGCCAAAAATACTTCTTTGATGTAACGGTAATGTGAATTGTAAGTGTTAAGTACATTTGTTTGTTTTATTATGCAGTAAGACAGCAGTGTGCCGTCAGCGGGTGATGGAGCTGCTGCCAAAGGTGGAGGGGGTGGTCCAGAGGATGGCTGAGAGCGAACAAGTGCTGATGAGTCTGCAGGAGAAACGTCAGAGGGAGCTGTGGAACCTGCTCAAAGTCGCCTGTGTAAGGATGGACACACACACACACACACACACACACACACACACACACACACACACACACACACACACACACACACACACACACACACACACTCACACCTACTCTCACTGGGGGGATGACTGTCAATTGCCTATATTTGTATGTAATGATACGAGTAGCCACAGTGTATAACCATATAATAGCAGCATGTATAGAAAAGTTTAATTCTCAAGAAAAGTGTATTTTGTTTACATTTGATTCATCATGTTTGGTGGACTTTTACGATGAGACCATAGATTATATTTAAAGACTTATGTACATTCATCCCAAGTAAAAAAAAAAGGCTATTCTTAAGAAGATGCTTGACCTGTGTGTTTTGTACCTACATGTACTCTACTTTGATATTTAAACAGAGACAAAGGTAAGAACTTCCAGGTGCTTGATGAACTAACACAGAATACAATTCATCCTCTTTTCTGTGCAGAGCAAAGTTCGCAGCCCAGTGAGTGGGAGTCCTGACGGATTACGAACCCCCTCGTCAGTTCCGCCTCTGCTCACCCCCAAACACGGTTTACAGCAGTTGTGAGTCTACACACACGCACGCACACGCACAAAGACACACCCCACACCTGGGTATAAAAAGGATTTCCATTCAGGGTTTAAAAGACTCTTTTATAAATGTTGTTTAGGATTTTTTTTTTTCAGGTATGCCTACTACTTTAATCATGACGTTTTCCCTGTAAGCTGATGGTCTTCTACAAACTTTAATTTAGCTTTCACACACTCCACACCGCTTCTTTTCATTAGCAGAGACTTTCAGAAAGGCACAAATGCAATTACACAGATAACCTATCATCAAAACTACGAGTACTGTCTGCATGAATCACTGTTGGTTGTGTCTGTAGAGACGAGTCTCTTGTGGAGGAGAGCAGGACATTTGAGTGTCGACTCCAGAGTCTGCTGAATGACACCATCCAGGAGTCAGAGAGCAGTATGGACGTACGTACATAATGTATCTATCTATCTATCTACATGCTTACTCTCCCTTCTTCAGCTCTCTCACACTGAGATGCCTAGCAGATGCCTGCTGTGGTTTATGATAATTGATTCTCTGCATTTAATGTGATGACTATTAAAGAGACGCCACCCTTTGTTTTTGTCCTAGATGTTGAGGGAGTGGACGTGGATGAGTGGCCAGAATTTCTCCAGTGACCTCTCCTAATTTGCGTTTCATTATTTTGCTTCCATGAGTTACTCTACTGCCCCTGTGTGGAGGAGATGTCAAACTACATCAGAATGTAGCACAAGCTGGTCTGTGAAAAATGTGAATATAGAGTAATATCTGATGAAACATATTTGCTAAATGAGATTTAGGAGTAGGTAATCCTTCTCAGTCTAACATTGTAAAATACGGAAATTAAATGTAAAGCTAAGTGCTTTGAAGCAAATCTTTCCGATTTTAATCAGAGGAACTTATTTAAGCAGGATCTTATTTATGTGCCCATTTTCCATTTTAGCTCAACATTTATTTTAGTTTTGGGGTAAAAATATCCATTTAATTGGTATCATGTATCAAATAAGATGGTCCTAACAAAGCATTTAGAAAATCTCGTATTAAACTTGCGTACACTTGTCACAGCATGAAGGGAGGCTTGCACGATGTACAAAGCATAAAACTCAATCTCTCTATAAAAAGCTGACACACATCGAGAGACAGTTTTATCTTTGGATTTAAGAGTGATAGAATTCACGAATGTAAATAATGTTTTACAGAAATTGAGACAGCAATATTTTTCTTCTGTTTTTGAGGCATATTCACTTCCAATTGTTTCATAATGTTTGGTGGATTTTTATTAGGAAACCACCGATTCTATTTTGAAGAATCAAGTAAAACATTTTATATTCTAAAAATATCCCTTGACCTCTGTGTTACATACCTAAATGTCAATATTTTTGCATTTTTATGTATTTCTCACTGGACCAATATTGTTCTTGCAAATGTTATTTTATTAATGAAAAGTTTTTTGTCATCTATTGATTCTCATAAGGAGGGTGTGGTCAAAATAACAGCAGCAGTCCAGTATCAATAATGTATCTAGTATGCAATAATAAGTGTTTTGAGGCTTTTTATGTTAGATTCATGTTGAAACTGGTTCTCTCTTTGCTTGGTGCAATAGGGTGAAAACAAAGCACATGCAAAAGTAGAATCCAATTTATGAACTGTTGCAAAACTGTGAAAATGGCTTTAAAACTAAGTACATTTTAATGAACTTTAACAGGGTATGCTTATCATTCTAACTATTCGAGGTATTATTGTGTATAGATTCCACAAAGTGATGACAATTGTTACACATTCTGTCATAAGTGTCTGTGATATCTTGCCTTTCTTTGAACACGCGCTGTGCTGTTAAAATGTAGAATTACAAAATCTGACCATTACATCATTATGTACAACAACAGTGATGTTGTAACTTGAATACAGTATTTTACTGTACTGTAAGTGGTGTTTCCTTTAAACAAAACAAATAAACAGCCCTCAAAATCATAGTGTTTAACATTGTTTATTCCATTAATTCAATAAAATCAGTTTGAGGTCCTAACTGTTGACTAACTCTCCTATACAAAGCACAGCACAATGAAATGTCGTGGTAAGGGTTTCGTAGGTACAGGACACAAAACGAGACAGGATAAAAAGAGTCTCACATTTCTGTTGGCCTTTTTACCAAACAGAACCTGAAAATAGATATTTAGGCAACTGAAGGTTCGCAGTTTAAAACTGTGTTACTGAGGTCAATTGGTGGAATAAGTCAGTCCACTCACTCTGAGGATCTGCTACTATGTTGTATTTCCTGCATTTTCTCTCCAGCTTTTATTGCATCCGTTTACAGTCACCGTACTTTGTCAACGTGACAATGAAAAGACAAAAAAACTTCTCCTCAGCCTTGAAAGCATGCAAATAACCAAAATATACCAAAACAAGCATCATCTAATAAACGTATTAATGGTCTAAATCAGGCTAAAACAAGCTGAGTCAAAATAAGAAAGTGCTTCAAATGTTATTTCAGAAAGAAAAGGATACGTTTAAGACGCAAATGCTCTATTAATAGTGCACTTTGTTTGGTAATAATCAGACAATTATTTAGAGAATGGGGCGTTCACATTCATTTCTGTTTGTCCTTCTGATGTATTTTGATAAGTTATGCTCAAAGGTTGGTTGTGGGAGCTGTAAAGGGTGTAATAATCTAGTAATCAACACAAAACAATGCTTGATTCTTTATAAACAACAGTACTGGAGGTCTTGGAGGCTACTCTGGGATAAGGCCAACAAATGCGTGTTTCTGTGTGCATAAGTGTGTAGGACTCAGTGGGAAGATGTGTTTACAAGTTGCTGGTTGGACCTTTCGCTGGTTTCACTTTTGGGCTCTTTATTCTTTTCTTGTGTTGTTTTCCTCTCTTTTTGTCTGTCCTCCTGCTGTCTCTTTATGCCTCCAGCTCGAAACCCAAGCCGATTTTGTGGCCACCTCCGTTCACGTTCTTCCCATCAATCAGACCTGAGAGGGTGAGCTTCACTCCTGAGGTAAGAAAGTCAGAATATGTATCAAGAAGCCATGACTATGTTTTATTGGATTGTTGTAACAGAAAGAAAATCAGCTAACCTGGCCTGAGGTTTTGTGTGTATCCAACTCCAACAAGGCAGGCGTTGTTAACTTTGGCCTGTGAGGAGAAACAAACCATGAGGGACGCGTGAACACAGCAATAAGAGAGTAGACAGATTGGACTGTTGGATGGATAATCATGATCACTGGTGCACACATTCCTGAAAATTAATTATAATAATTGGTGAGCTCATGTCTTTCCATTATCAAATGTCACTATATCAAGTATTTCAGTTCATCACTAAATACCTGCAAAGCTAAAGACATTTCTATCAGCCTCAGCTAAGTTTAGTGCCAAATGTTAGCATGCTAATATGCTTAACTAAGACGCTAAACATAGTCAAATATACTTGCTAAACATCAGCATTTTAACATTGTGTGCATTTAGCTCAAAGAACAGAGTTGCTAGTGTGGCTGCAGACTCTTTGTAATGTTTATTTTGTTCCTCTATTCTCCCAAATTGAAATATATAATTCCTTATGAGCTGCAGTCATTGTCACTGCTAAATCTATTGATGCTGTCTTATCATTATAAAATCGTCAGTTCTTACAGACAGGGAGGTATCCTTATCCAGCTGGTATTTGGCTCCAATTCCAAAGCGTGTGTTGTTGCTGCCAGCTGTCCAGGCCAGTTGTACAGCCGTCTCCAAGTTGCTGTTCACCTTTTGGTAGATGGAGCCACCGAATTCTGTGCCGTCATTACTGAAATACAAAAATAAATTGTTGGAGATAAGCAGGAGCGGAAATGAGTCTAAACTTCATGTTTCATCCTGGGGAAATGCTTCCTCTCATTACCGCCATCATCCAATATATCACTTCCTTTTCCTCTTTTTCACTTTACTGTGATGTTGGGACTCACACGCTGGTGTGAAGCTGGAAGTCCCCGGCCTTGTATCCGAGAGCAAAGTTGTTCTGGGTCAGGTTAGATTTGGCTGTGTCAAAGGCCAACTGGTAACCCGCCAGCCAGCCCTCAAAGCCCAGCACAGCAGCAGCGTGGACGGTGGGACCGGCCATGTCGAAGTCCAGGTCGCAGCCAACGTTTACAAAGTCACGCTTGTAGCCGGTCTTCAGTTTGGCACTCTTCTTGCTACAAGGAATAACAAGGAGAGACAATTGTGACAGTTATTAAGAAGTTAGTATTATGTTGATAGTACACCCATGTATTCATTTAAGAACTGTTTTTACTGTATAGTCAATTATTTTGAAGATTTTGGAGCTATACTTGGCGTGAGCACGATTGGTCTTACCCGGTGTTGGGCACAAATGACGCGTCCAGACCGAGCTTCAAGCCCTTAGCCAGCTACAGACAGACAAACGGAAACAGACCATGAGCTTCTATTCTAACTGAAAGTGAATGTATTGATGTTATGAACATTGTTTGAGATTACTAATATGCAATCACCTGGTCCTCCATGGTGATTTCTGTGGTCAGAGTGTTGTCTGTGTTCCATTTCTGGTTGAAGTTGAGGCCCAGGTCGCTCACTTTGTACTTGGTCTCCAGGTGGCCTCCTGACTTCCCTGTGTCGGTGTTGTTGGAGCCAGAGGTGGCAAATTCCTGCAGGACAAAGAGGGACGAAGTGATGAAGGGGCGGATGGAGATATCAAATGAGATGGGTAGGGAGGCAGAAAGGCACATAAGAGCTCAACTACAGACACGAGTGGCAGAAAGGGAGAGAAAACATACACAGAGAAAGAAGAAGAAAAGACAAAGGCGAGGTAAACAATTGTTCTCTGCTCTTCCTCTGCCACACAATTCCTCTCAGGTTTGTATGTCCAGTTATTTATTGGAGGATCTACACCTTTAAGATGGAGAAATTAGGTGGAATATTAAAATATAGGCAGGACTGTGAGGGAGAGGCTGGTTGTGTTAATTACACGGTGAAGCAGTTGGATTAGGGTGTGGCTCGGACGAGCTACCGCTGCAAAGACACATTTGGCACAAAGCCTGCACAGATCGTCTCACACAAACACATCACTGGTATAACTGGCTTACCCCGAGGTGCACCTGTGTTTAAATATTACTTATGCACACAAACACTCTCTTACCATCTGACAGGAACATCCAAAGAAGAAGCAGAAAGAAGAGAAAAGAGAGAGTTAGGGGAAATCCACACAGAATGAACATGCTCTTTGGGAAAATAAATGAAAAGCAGAGAAAGCAGAAACCTGTGAGATTAGTCAGAGGGAATGCATTTATAATGTTTTTTTATGAGGTTTGTGTCATGTGGAAAATTCTGTGTGCAAGTGTACATTATGGTTTTTCCATGGCAACAGGTTTATACCAACACAGACACACAACATGTCTGGAGCAAAACACTTTTCTCAAATGGAGAATTGTTTTCCCCGTCATGATACAACATGATATGTAGCTTGAGGCAAAAGAGTATTGGTGTCAGTAAAATGCCAAGCAGACAGAGTTAATCTGCAGATCCGAGTTAATCTGCTGATTGTGTAAATTACACTGAGTACATGTCAGGCAGCAAATACACTGACATGGAGTGCTGCATGGCAGTGAGTCAGCCCTTTGGTGCTGCATGGCAATGAGAGAGAGGCATTAACACAGAAAACAGTAGTACTTACAACACCACTCTGGGACTTGGTCTTAACATCCAGCTTCAGAATTCCATATCCTGGGAAAGAAAGGAAATTATGGAAATTTGAAAAAAAAGAAAGCCTGGGAAAATAACACACATCCTTTTACTGCACAGCAAGGCACTAAAACAGCTGCAGTTAAAATAAACAGAGTGCATTCAAAGAGCAAAGTGTTCTAACATCAATCCTGTTTCAGAACAGCTTCATCCAAAACTGTTCAAAATATAAAGCAACATCGTATGAATAGTATTTAAATACATTAAGACAAATTGTATAGTTACCAAAGCCCTTGTTGAGGATGTCTTTGGCAGATTTCCCCAAGTCGGCGTATGAAGGAGGGACGGCCATTGTTCCTGAGGAAACAGACATTTAAAAAAACACATCATTCAGTATACACACTTTACTGCATCAAGCTCTCTAAATGCATAATTAAAGGGATACTCCAGCAATTGAGTAATGCGCTTCCAAGTTACAGTGATCAATGGTCTAAAATGGATGATGTATAATGCAACTCAATAGTGTATTTTCATTCCATACTGAGTAGATGCCCACATCCTTAAGAGTTTGTAAAATGGTACTACCCATAACTTTTACGTAAAATAGTTGGAATGCCCCTTTAAATCGAAATGCTAGAACAAATGCTACAAATATATACAAGCTGAACCTATATAGCTAGTTTGCGTTAGATGAGATATTTAACTCAGAGAGCACTAATGAGGGCTTAGGTTCTACTATATTAGCCTGCACACAAAGCATCAAAAAAATAATTTCTACCAAATATTTACTTGCCAACAAACATCAGTATACATATTTGTTATTTGGAATGAACTCGCCACCTGGAGGGGACCTGTTTGTGTGATGTACAGCTTCTCTCCTCCCCCTATTTCTTCCATATGACCCCCATTGATTGCCTGGCAACAGCCCATTAGCAAGCAGCACATCTTGGCTCACGTAGACATCAAAACATGGTCCTTTTGCTGCAAGACTTACTACTGTGTTTCACCATCAATAACATCTAGGCTGTGATATGCGTGTGAAGGAGGACATAAATATGTATGATGTGGACAGAGATACTATGCAAGCCAATGCAGTCAAGCTAGCCTAAGCAGTAGCAGGTTTGGTTAGTCAGCAACTACGAGTCCTGCACACTACTGCACTGCACCGGCTTCAGGCAGTCATCAGGGACCTTGTGTGTGTGGTGGGTGTGGTGTGTGTGTGTGTGTGTGTGTGTGTGGTGGGTGTGTGTGTGTGTGTGTGTGGTGTGTGTGTGTGTGTGTGTGTGTGTGTGTGTGTGTGTGTGTGTGTGTGTGTGTGTGTGTGTGTGTGTGTGTGTGTGTGTGTGGTGTGTGTGTGTGTGTGTGTGTGTGTGTGTGTGTGTGTGTGTGTGTGTGTGTGTGTGTGTGTGTGTGTGTGTGTGTGTGTGTGTGTGTGTGTGTGTGGTGTGTGTGTGTGTGTGTGTGGGTGTGTGTGTGTGTGTGTGTGTGGTGTGTGTGTGTGTGTGTGTGTGTGTGTGTGTGTGTGAGAAAAAGAAGATATTTTTGACAAGGTGACTTTGCAGGGACATTTGTTCTGCACTCCCTAGGCTGGTTTAATATTTTACCAGTGACTTGCCTTCCTTTCTTTGCCTTCGTCCGGCTGCTCCCTCCAATATAAATCTCACCTATTATATCTTTTGTGAAGAGAAATGGAGACTTTGGAGATCCTTATAAGCTAATGACTCAATGAGCCGGTGCATGTTTGGTTGCATCGCATGCTGTCACTGCAACCAAAAACAGTGGAATTGAAAAAGATTTCACAGATTGCAAGTCGAGGTTAATGTCGCTGCAGCCAAAGCTCAATCCAGGGACCCTGACCATGCGTCATCTGTTTTACACACCCCCACTCACCATTTCCCTTGGGTGCGTGGTGCACACATGTCCCACAGTGGTCTTTGTTCTCTACCAGCTTGACTTCTTCTGTCTTGTGCTGCACCTCACTCCCAACTCCGGTCTCTGCCATGTCTCTTTAAAGGAAGGAAGTGCAATGAGGGACAATTAGAAACATTGGCAGTCTGGCCCTTTTTCAACAGCACCAATGCACAATATGTGGGTTTGTCTGCAGCTGCTATAAATATCCGCATGCTTCTTTAGCATGCAGTCAGATCTTAGACGTTGCCTTACTATGCAGAGAACTAGCCTTCTATTGGATTATATTGAACAGTATTTGCAAAGGCCAGCTGTTGATGAACACATGTACTTTGTGCACAGCCTTTGAACATGATAAAGCCTGTGTAGAGCCTGGCATTTTTATCTGACAAAGAATACTGATTGTGCATGAAGGGTACAAAATGATGATCTGGTGAAATATGCTGCTTACAAGGGCACAGAAAACAAAGCATACCAGTCAGGTGCCTGTCCACAAGCATTACATCAACAGTGCTGTGATGCTACTTCATGACACAGTGACGCTCACCTCTCACATGTCACCAAAAGATTAGCTGAGTACATGTACAGTAATCTCTCTCCAAATGTGTCTTCTTCAGATTCAGAGGAACATAACATATAAATGACTACAAAACAATAAATCAGTGTTAAATTGACCTACATCCCTATTTATTATATTTATATAACTGACATTTTTGCCACAGAGGACAAACACAACATATTATAATAGTTTAGGTTGAAACTTGTTAGCTTGTTATTGAGCACTTCAACAGTCATTTAGAATATGTTTTCTAACAAACAATCATTTGTATAGTCTAATTATACTCTTTTAGCTCAGTTGTGTTCGCTACAAATGTAGCTAAATTACCATGACATTACCTTTTTCCAATCAAGTCCAAAACACTTCAAACCTAACCAACAAACAAAGACCAGACATACAGAAATCTCTCAAATGAAAATACCAAATATAATTGGTCTTGTTGGTCTTATGGTTTCAACCCCTTACTCAACAACAAATTGACCTTTAAGATTTTTTTTTTTGACCTTTAAGATCTCAATATTTCTCCCACACAGAATCCTGAGCATAAATCAAAGTATGTGTCATGAAGTCTTGTCTGTCTCAGAGTTGCTCTGCATTTCTCAAACGGTAAGCAAATGTTTGCCAGCTGACCTGCTTTTTGCTGACCCGTGCATGTCCTGACCGCCTTTGTCTCCCAACATACACTGCTTATCGACCCTGTCCCCCCTCTCCCCCAACAACACACAGTCCATTTTGGACCCTTTCCCTCCTGGCCTTCTTTCCTCAGTCTCGTCACGCAGCTCTAAATATAGCCCAGGTGAACCTAACACTACAACACATGTGACTAGGCTTTCAGCGAGTGTCCTTCTCCAGGTTCAATGTTTTAAATCCCCATTGAATACAGATTTTTTTGTCTGTATTGTACCTGCATAGACACTGTATTTATATATCATAATTCCTGTTACCCGTCATAACACTTTCATTAGCTGCAGCCTTGACTGAGCTCAAAGGTAAAAATGACACCCATAAACATGGATAGGATGTATGTGAAGGGAAAACAGAGACTACACAAACAACAAGATGGTGGTTGTGAAGTGTTCAATAATCAAACACAGACCAAAAATATATTAGAAACAAAACAAATGTCCTTTTTTTTCAATTAGCAATTTTCCAATGATGGTCGTAATTGTAAAACACTGTTTAATATGAAAGCGGCTTGATGTAAAAACACATAGAAACCTGATCCAAAAAATGAGGAACACCTGTAATATATTATATAGTTTCAAATAAGCTCCAGCACATTGTCTCACTTGCTAAACATTTATCTATGAGCATACAATAATTGTTCATGCTCCTCACCTGTCTTATTAAATTGTGTTTTTCTGCAGAGTATGATATATATATACAAAGCAAATAAGTGTTATTAACAGAATAAAAGTAACCGTAGTTAATTCCTCTGTCAAACTGCAAACTGATATTTCGATTCAGGGGCCAACTTAAGTGTCCATAAAATAATTGTAAAGGTAAAGCCATTGTGTTTAATGTTGTTTTTTTTATACATTTCTAACCAATCAAGATAATCGGTGTAGTTATCCTATATATTATCTGTCGTACTAGCAATAGCTTTGAAATGTATTAAATCATTTAAATAATGGAAAGAGTTTAGCAGTTGTAAACACCATGAAGATTGCCCCCTAGCTAAAGAGCAGATAATGAATAAAATAGACTACAAACTTGAGTAAACAGGCAGTTACCCAATAAAGGGTGAACCCTCGGATAAGGTGAGGTGTGTGTGTGCCATGTAAGGGAGGAATGTAAGGGTGTGAGATGGGTTCAAGTGAAGTCAAGTTACACTAACACAATTTATAGCTTAAATGTTAAGAGCATGAGGTATGAGTTTCTTACATAGTTTGATATGATATGCATCCAGAGATTTTCCTTCCTTGTAATGACAATAGTTAAGTTTGATGTGCAAGCACCTGTTTACCAGTGGGCTGCAGCATCCTGTATAAGAAGTAGTGAGTGTTTTCCGTTCTGAGGCAGTCTAGCCCAGGCCTGATTTCACACCTATGGGGGGCAATGTTCTATAACATATTCTATAAAATAATATATTACATTCCCACAATGTCCCCAAATATATCTATTTATTTAACTGTTAAACTGTTTTTCTCCAAGCTGTCCATGATGTTTAATTTGCCTTATGAATACTCATGGTCACTGCCACTCTGCGTCTTTGTGTGTAATGACATAAGAGTAAAGGTGGCTAATGCTAAATGATGGAAGTCCTTGCTCTGTAGCTGTTCGTGGACCTTGTGCTTCTTGACAGACAGACAGATAAGAAACTTCCCTTCGCCTGTCCCATAAGAGAACGAGTATTCTTATTTTCCAGATATGTCCTCTGCTGGTTGCCATTGTTCGTGCGTCCATAAGACGAGAGTAGTTTGCTAATGGGCAACCACCGAAGGCTAACGTTTTACACCACAAAAGCTTGTTTTCAGATGTTATATATCCTAAATATTGCTTGGCCATAGTCAAATATGCTACTTTATAGTATTGACAGAAAATATGATCCCCGCACCCCTCCCTTCCTCCCTTGTGTCGTTTTGTGTCCCCTGTCTGTAACATGGGACGACATTTAGTTATACTCCTTTTTTATGGATCTTTATTACAGTTTACATATGCCACGGCACTTAGGCCTGAACTGGCTTTAACACCCTGGCATACCCGCTGCGGCTGCTGCAGCACACCCTTCAAATCTCACTGACAGTCAAACCACAATTGTCAACAGTTGATTGTCATGATGGAAACATCGATATAAGACTTTTTTCTAAAATAACAATTTGCTAGAGTCAGTTGTTTCTTACCTTTCTGTATGGGGCGGGAAGTGCAGAGTTTAACGGTGCTGTAGGGTGCAGCGGGGCAAAGTGAAGGAGAAAGCAGGGAGAACACACTGGGCAAGCGCGAGGCAGACCTCCAGCCGGGGGCGGGGCTATTGTGCAATGACATTGAGCATAAATAACTTGTTAAATAGTATTCTGCTCGTAAACACTTACACATGTACACTGGGTTCAGTATTTTTGCAGCTCATGGTCTTTTATTTGGGATCTACTGGTCTGTCAGATAATATCACTCGAATACTAATTTGATATTAAGGAAAAAACGGTTTATAGTTTTATTATGTTAGACAATTCTTATATATCTGACTATACAATATTTTGAGATTAGCTAATTACCCTGGTGCATGTTTTTACAGTAACAACTTAATATACAGTATATTACACACATTGTCATTACAAAGGAAATAGGAAAAAGAGTACATTCTTCCAAATATTGGTAAATTAAATATAAAATATAGGGATGTACATAAGTAAATTATTTCAATGACTGAGTATTATGTATGTATTATACTGATTGTTTGAAACAACCACTGTGGAAATGATGCATGTATTTGTTGTAGTAAGACTCTTTCACCACTCGGGGGAAATGACCTCTGGCTAGTGTTTTACTATAGTTTAGAATAGGGTGTCTTAGCCCTGAGATAAATCTGTCAGGCGTACCAAAATATTAGTGCAGTGTAGTATGCTCCCCTATGTAGTGTACCCAATCATATAGTAACATTTCAGTTTAGGGTAAACTAGTTTAGATTAGAACTATAAGCATTGCGGTCGTAGAGTACTAAATTAGATTTGTTTTTAATGTGAACCTGTAAGGCAATGCTCAGGAAATCAATATTTACACACACCCAGCAGGATCACACTAGAAATATACCTGCTAGAACTTAAAACTGCAGGTGAGCACACGCAAGCTGTGGTTTATCAAAACGAATTACCTTTTAAGGTGCGAGTTGCATATTCGTTCAAGGTGTCATTATTATTGATACCGTTATCAGCAATCCCTTTATAGAACGTCACCAAAAAAGTCCGCTTTGGCGAAACATAGTTATATGTTGTTGTTGTTGTTGTTATAATTCTTCTGCATTGAACGAGACATGTTTCTGATAAAATCCCAACAACTTATCAATTTACAGGTTTTTAAAATTGGTTTGGATTTATATTGTGTTTGATAAAAGTGGGACTCGAATAGTATTTTGACCATAGACTGTAAAGATTTTGACAGCCCAGAGGTAACCGCTCTTTTCTATCAGGTCTAGTTCTATGTGCAACTGCCCCGTTGCCATGGGGAAGAGAATTGAAACAAGTGTTGATACCTCGGCGTCATCGCTCTGCGTGAACAAAATCCTCAGTGATAAACAACAGGACAAATAAAGGTAAACAAACTATCTTGACTATTCTAATGCATCGCAACCCGTTCCAGTTGTTTGGTCGACGTAAAGACTTGCCATATTTGTCGGTGACGTTTGTGTTAAATCATTTCTGAGGAGGAATACGTCGAAATGGATCGTGTTGATTAGCTAACTTTACAACAAGCTAGCTAATTAAGATAACATTAGCTTTATTTAGACAGCGTTTAGGCAACTCAACGTTAGAAAGCAATCTAACTCTTGATTAACTACATTTTGATAACTATAATATCAAGAACGACTCATTGATTTGTTCATTCATTCATTCGTTCATTCATTCATTCACTCTCATACTGACTAACATACATACTGACTTTATATTGACATATAAACGACAATTCTGTATAGTTAGTCACACAGTGTGATTTTATCACCTTCTAGGATGTATATATCGCTAGAAAAATTGCTGCTATTACACCACCTGTAGTGCAGAGGTAATTCATTAGTTACTTATCTAGCTTGTCATTAAGTAAAATATTTCCTTAGCCTCTCAGTGCTGGCCTGGATATGTCCAGTAACTTTTCCCCAACCTCAAACGAGAATAGTTTTGTTTTTTTAGTGTTTGGGATCCTTTATCAGTGTCCTAACATTATTCTTTCAGCCTCTGGTGTAAATACCCTTTAGCCAGGGCAAACCACTGCTCACTTTATGTTCAGACGAAAATACTTCTCTTTGCAGGCCCTTGCGATTCTGTTAGGTGCTGTTTCTGCTCAGCTGATACTGTAACTTTAACTGTTTTCATCTCCTTTTTTTGTAAAATGTACAGCTTCAGATGTGTGAAGGACCTTCATCGATATCTGGGCCAATTCCCCCAGATCCTTCTCTGTTTCCACAGTACTACAAGCGACCTGCTTCAGGTTAGATGAAGCCTCTGGGCTCTGCTATATTAAACCCCCTTTAACAGTCTTTTTATTTTCCAATGAATTTGGGTAGTAAATAATATCTATTAGCTAAAGACTAACTCCAACTGTTGTTTCCATTGGGAATTTCAGTTCAATTTGAGTTAGTCTTTTGACATCCATGAGTGTGTTTTACGTTAAATAAATGATACGTTAAATAAATGATACACAAAAATCATGCACTAATATTTAGGTACGCCTGACAGATTTGCAGGAAACTGCTATTAAAGAGTAATTTTCTGTTCATATTTGATGACTCATTGTTTATCAACCAGTCATGAGCCTCAAGTGACCTTGTTCAGTTTTCCTTTCTTTCTCCAGCACGTGGCCGTTTAGAGGGAAACGACATTGGGAGTGTGGCCCTCCTCTCAGGGCCGCTCGCTCCAGATCCTGTGTTGTACCCTCGCTGCTATAGTGCCCGTACCCCATCACATCCTCCCCGTATCGGCCCTAATGCCACCCATATTCTTGAACGCGGACAGAGAGGGGTAGTTGGGGAACTACTCAAACTAGGGGGTGTCTCTATCAGCCCTGTTCCCAAACAGAGTAAGTGCAATTGTTTGTTTTTTTGTCTTTGCTGAAAAAGAGTGGTTCTGTTTTTTCTTGTGGTATACGTGTATCTTATTATTTTAGTTTTTCCTTTTTAATTTTTGAGTTGTTATAGCAAGTACGGTAGTTTGATTAAACACTTGCTTGATCCGAAAATGAAAAAGATATTGAAAAAACGTTTGTGATTCTTCACTCTCAGAACCGCGAGTACATGACTTTGGTAAAGAGAATGTGCGTCGGCTTAGGGAGATTCAGAGGCGCTGCAAAGAGCAGGAGTCAGAGAGGGCACTGTCTCGTCCAGCTCCAGTCAAAGCTCTTTGGACCTCCTCCAAATACGAGAACGTCCCATCCAGGGTGATGGTCCAACTACAGGTAGGGAGTATTGCAAATTCTTAGGTTATAAATATGTCCTCTTGATCACTTTTAATCAAGTCTCCTCCTTGCAGGTTTCTAGTCCAACTTCTAAACCACAGTGTCAAAACTTTCTGAAGGCCCATTCTACTGCTCCACCAAGACCACGCTCTAAAAACTCTCCTGTAACTTTACAACGGCGGACCTCCTGCAACTCCATACAGGACCACGACTTGCAAGTGAGAAGTGCAAATAAGTGTTTATTCAGTTCAGAGTATTTATAAAGGGAAAAAAAAATCCTCTTTTTTAAATTCTATATATTTCTGTTTGTGGATACAGTTACAGGTGCAAGGCCAGACGATAGACTTCGTAAAACATAATGCCCATTCTGCAGGAAAAACTGGGATGCGTCGGTCCCAGTCATTGACCAACCTTAGAGATAAGCCTGTGCCCATGGCAGTTAAGGGACAGGTGCCTCAATAGTGAGTATTCACTTGCCATATCTTAAAAAATAATCACTGTCTACTCAAATCTTCTATTTTAACTGAATATATTCTTGGGAACTTCTGGGATTCACAGGACATACAACTTCTTATAGGATTTACATGCTTTTTCTATTAAAAAAAGTATATGTTAAAAACCTATGACTCTTCCCAGCAAGCAACCATGTTGACACCCTGTTACTCATTCCTGTTATCACTCTCATTGACACACATTCAGTCTGGAGGAAAGGAAGGAGAGATGGCAAATAGAGGAGGAAGAGAAGAGGAGGAACGCCCCTGATCCTACAGCCCCGACTGGTCACACGCTGATGCCTGAAAATAAGAGACAGGAGACACTGAAGTCCCTCAAAGAGAGTATGTCTCTGTTGTTCTTTATTTCTGCCCTTGTATTAATGATATCAACACAACTTAAGCTACGACATGGGTAGTCAGTATTTGCTCTTCTAATTGTATTGATTTTGTTTCCTCAGCCCATCGCTCACTGGTGACTGAGCTGTTGTCACTCCCTCTCAAAGCTGACAATCTGAGTATTCGCTCACGTCGGGCTCATCTGGATTCTAGGCTTTCTGAAATTGAGGAAGCCATAAAAATATTCTCCAAGGACAAAGTTTATGTGAAAATAGATTCCTAACAAATTAGAATATGGAGAAGGTCCTGTATATGTACTGCTTCATTGAGCATCATGTAAAATAATGCTGAACTTGTAGAAGTCATGATTATTTATACGTTAGCAATTTTCATTTCTATAATACGAGTGATTATTCCATAAGGTCAACCATTGAGGCTACTGATAATCAGTTACTTAAAGAACAATTTACATGCTACTAGAACCTACCAGATACAATGTTAACTGTAGGCTACATTAAAAACTGTTCCTTTGGTAAAAACCTTCTTGGATGTGTTTTTCTTTTTGTGTAAAACTGATTGTTGGTTTGTAATAATGAATATTTTGGGAAGTGTATATATACAAAAACATTTCTTAATATTATGTTTGGCTTTTAAAGCTGAAGATGTTGCAGACTGCTAAAGAAGTAATTATTTCTCTGTTTATCCAGATTGGATGAACTCCATATTGGTTCTGTAAAACTGTCATGACACAACTCAGTGATCACATTGTAGAAAGAAAATATCTTTATTAGTAAATGTATGTCCTTAATCATTTAAAGTATTGTACACAAACTTGGAATACCATTGAAGACGTTCATTTTATCCAATGCATGTGTTTCTGTCTTCTACTTACGTTACGGTATATTGTTTTATGAAATTAAGAAGTGCCGTAAAAAAGGAAAACCGCTGAGTATGTATGACGTGTTGACGCACGCCCCGCCCCCTGTGCGTACTTCGGTCATTGTTCGGCTTGAGCTAGCTAGTGTGCTAGTTAGAATCGTGCAAAGATTACAGAGGTTTAGACTTCGTGCATTCATATTAGACCTTTAAGTATTACAGCAGACATCTGAGAGCTTGTCAAAGCAACAATGAGCAAAAGGAAAGCGCCACAGGAATCCCCAAATGAGGGAATTACAGACTTTCTTGTCGGTACGTGAATGGAAGGGACGGCTGAGTTTGGCTAACAATAGCTAGCATAGCACCAGGGTTTAGTTTTTAAGTACAACTAAAAATACTTTGCACTAGAAGTATATATTTGTAAAACAAATGTGCTAAATGATGTGGTTTGTGTGTCGTGTTTATCATATAGTTTGCTTCGACCTCAAATCTGAGTTGTGTCAGCTCTGACGCTGATAGTCACCGTGTTGTCATTTAAAGGCTTCCTGCCTTCAGCTGGGTTGAGGGAATAAAACAAATTGTGAACATAGTTTCAATAAACTTCAGAGGTAAGAGGTAAATATAAAAACCATTCGATGTCTCTCTTGTCATTTCAGAGCTGGCCAATTATGAGAAAAACGTGAACAGGGCAATACACAAGTCCAACGCTTACAGGTAAGGTCTGAAGCTTCAGCACTGAGAGTGCTTTGATAAGATGCCTGAAATACAACAAGGCATCTTAACAAAACAAATACATCAATATCAGATGCATATAGAGCATAAACCAAACTGCCAGTTTAAGAGACAATCAATTTACAGAAACGATTTTAGAGGTGTTTAATTCACTTCATTCATGTATAATTATGCGCACTACAAACTACATCCTCCAAAATAACCATGAAGTAAAAAAGATATGAATACATTTCAATGTTTTAACATTCATAATTCATAGAGGTAGGGTTTGTTATTATGTTTTAGCCTGGCAAATGAGTGAATAATATGTTTAATGTTATATGGGAAAAATAGTTGAATATTAATTGTGATTTGGCATTCAAAGGCAGCTTTTTATCAACAAATTATTTGCTTCTTTAAAGTCCTTATCATGTTCTATTTTGTATTAATCCTTTTGCTTTTTCCCTGTCTAGGAAAGCAGCATCAACCATTTCTAAGTACCCTAACAAAATCAGAAATGGCGAAGAGGCCAAGAAACTGGTATGTGCTCTGGATTTGGTTTCACTGTCTTAAAAGTAATTGCCTTAAAAACACATCAGTGAATGTTTGAAAAATGTGAACTGTTGGCAATGATCAAGAGGCATAGTGACATTTTGTGTAACAATAACAAACCTAGACACCGCAATGCAGAGTCCAGTCCTACAATAAATACTACTTTTTAGAAGGTTGTCATTTTTACTAGTTGTAGTGGAAGACATTGGTGCAAATATACTGGTTCTCATAGTGAATTCATAACATTTCCTATTTCTTGGATTCATTTATTATTATCCATCTTTGTATTGAACAGGGAAGCTGACTTGATGTTATTTCTGCTTTTCTGATGGTGTATTTCATGTAATGCTGCCTGGAAACTGGAAAGGACTCCATCACTGCTTGTCTTCTCTAGCACTACTCTGCTCTTGTTTCTGGGGATATGTAGAGCGCTCTGCTGCGGCCTTTGTTTGTCAATAGTACTACATCTTACATAACTGCTGCAAATAGCTCTATTCAGCTCTCTCAATTTTATTTTTATTTTTTACATTTCAACAGGAAGGTGTTGGAGCTAAAATATCAGAAAAGATTGATGAGTTCCTGCAAACTGGCACACTACGGAAACTGGAAAAGGTTAGTGTTATATTTAATATACAGTCACGTGGTAATGTCTGAATAATGCCGCATTGTAAGAGTATGCGTTTAAAATAGCTCACTTTAAATGTATTACACAGACTGATGACTATTTTTTCCTCTAGATTCGTACCGATGACACCAGCTCTTCCATTAATTTCCTCACCAGAGTGACTGGAATTGGGTATGTCATTGGAAATCATCTAAATCAAATATTTATTAATTGGATATTCAAACTGAAATGCACCAGTTCAGCAGCCACTCCGGAGTGATGCAGGAATGGTTAGGATTTGAATACTGATATAGTTTTAATATAATGCTTCATGTTACCAAATGCATCTCCTTGTTTTTGACTTCAGCCCAGCTGCTGCCAGGAAGTTCTTTGAAGAAGGGGTGAAGACGTTAGAAGGTCTGTTTATTATAATTTTTCAAAACATTTAGGTAGAAATGGCTGAACATTTTATATGATGTACAATATACCGCTCAATACATGTGCACAATGTAGATTTAGCTTTGGTGTGATTTATAATTGAGCAATGCTTTTTTCTGTTTCTTGTTGTATTCTTAGATCTGAAAAAGATCGAGCACAAGCTAAACCATCATCAACAGATTGGACTCAGGTAAGTTTGGCTGGATGTTGTCTGTAAATGTGTAAATACATTCATTAAAACCCAAATAATCAAATATATTAAAGTCTTTCTCTAGTATCACTCCAGCTGTTTCATGAATTATTTTGCTGCTTTCAGGTACTTTGAAGAATTTGAGAAAAGGATTCCACGTGCTGAAATGGAGCAGATGGAGGTAATTGAAGTTTTAAAGTTTTTGTTATCTTCTATTACATTTTATTGAGAGTTTTCTTAAACCGTGTGTTTTGTTTAGACTTTTATTCATGAAGAGTTGAAGAAGGTCGATACAGAATATATTGGGACGATCTGTGGAAGCTACAGGAGAGGTAAAACTTTCCCTTCAAGTTCAATTTAAGTTAATAGTAGTTCAAACTCCATTATTCAAGCTATTGATTCATATGTTCATAATTTCCAGGTGCAGCATCGAGTGGTGATATTGATATTTTGCTGACCCACCCAGACTACACCTCTGAGACTGAGAAGCAGGTAAGACTCTTCTCTCGGGTATCTCATTCAAAATCAGTATACCGTCGATATTAAGATTAACTGCGGTTCGACTTTTGTCATCTTTTAACAATTTATTTTGTTGCATTTATCTTCTTTTACAGCCTAAGCTCCTTCATGCCGTGGTGGAACATTTCGAGTCCATTGGGTTTGTGACTGACAATATGTCCAAAGGAGACACCAAGTACATGGTGAGGCTTGTAGTTATTATCTCTCTGGTGCTCAGCTGTATGTGTGATCGATGTGTAACAGAGTCAGTTCCCAGTGCATAAAGAACATCACTGTGGTCACAATGTGCTGGATTTTGTTTTCTAGGGAGTCAGCCAGCTTCAGAAGAGCGACGAGGATGAAGAAGAATACCTTCACAGGCGTATTGATATCAGGTGCCCTTCTTTATATTGCTCATATCTATCCTCTTTAGGGATGTAAAAATGAATGGGCCTCTCGAGGAAACTGTCCGGTCGATCCGATATTATATCTCACACTTACACACATGTACTGCATGATGGTCTTATGTCACACACGTAGCAGCACAGACAGTAAAATCACAGCCACACACATTTACATTATTGTTAAATACTGATTTCGAAATACTTTTGTATTAATAAATGTATACATTGTTTTGGATATATAATTAATAGTGGACTTGTACTTTCTGTATAAAAACAATTATGATTTCATTAAGAAATAGAGAGCAGATAGATAGTGTTCTAAATAAAACTGAAAAACTATAATATTTTTTCTTTATTCTCCTATGATATGCATGAACCTTACAAGTCAATATTGAAAATAAGGTACACAAATATTTATGTATGCTGTTAAATATAGTTCTTAGAAAGAAAGAAAAATTGGAAAGGTACGGTCGGGCTTTTAAGAAATCAGGAAATGCAATTGCTGCATCTCTAATGATTTTCCAATGAAAACATTGCCTCTACGTACAACAATACTCAACAGGCCCAGTACAGAAGAATATACCAAGTAAAGAAGCAGCTTTCTGTACTACTTTCTCTGTCTCTACTGCTCCCTGACTGACTGTTCTCCATTTCCCCAAGGTTAATTCCCAAGGACCAGTACTACTGTGGAGTTCTGTATTTCACTGGAAGTGATATCTTCAATAAAAACATGAGAACTCATGCTCTGGAGAAAGGCTTCACTCTCAATGAGTACACCATACGGCCTGTTGGAGTCACTGGTGAGTCTCAGTCTAATGTGACATATGACCCTGCTCACTCTGTCAGCCATGTGGTTCTTCTGGCATCAATCAGTAATCAATGATTCATGCTCTAACTATCAGCTATTTTCCTTTCTCGATCTGTTGTAGGTGTGGCAGGGGAGCCTCTGTTGGTGGATAGTGAGAGAGACATCTTTGAATACATCCACTACAAATACAAAGAGCCAAGTGAGCGCAGCCAGTGAAGTTTACAGATACTGTACATCTGTATTGGAAACTACAGCTTTCCTATAAACAAGATCGGAAGCATGTGTACACTGTATATGTTAGTATACCGTACAACTATGTTCTGAAAAAAATAACAACTGTGAAAACGAATCATCCCCTTTAATGACTTTTCAACCCAAATGCATACACATCTTGCAAAACAAAATTATAATTTAGATTTATTTTTTGTTTCATTTTCCCATAGCGTATCTTTGTAAAGACTTATTGGACTCTTTTTTTAAATCATGCTCTCAACAGTAATTTACGCATATACATTTCACTTTTTATATAGCACCCTTTAACGCTTTGTTGTGCAAACATGTTTTTATAACTGTTACCCATTCATACTACAGCGGTACTGCAGTTGTTCTTACTTTATGTAAATCTATTTTTTTTCTTATCTCAATCACCATGGACATTCAAGAATCCCTGTTTTTAAACTTGTGAGTATTTTTTTTCCAATTTGGGCAAACTGATGAAATGGAAAGAAAGAATGCAATAAGTCAAATGTGATTTGTGGTTAAGGGGCTCCGTGTTGGAACAAAAAGATCATCAATGTATTGAGATGTTTTCCAGTTGATTGTGTGAATGTTACTATGGTAGATTTGTTTCTCTTGCATGTGGTTGTGTGAACATTTTTACTTATATGATATTATTGTATCGTTGGTGCTTATATGGGTGGCATTTAGAAAGTATAAAAGTAATACAGTTATTCAACTCAAATACTGCTACCATGAACCTTGGTGATACAGACTTGAATCTGTATTGCAAAACTTAAATATTAGGATATGGACTCTGTTATCGTTTTCTTTATGGGGAGGATTGTAACCTTTTCTAAAAAGATATTTAAGAAAATAAAACCATGGAAACCTGTATGTGTCTTTTTGTCAAGTGTAGTCATAATATCTGGCCTGATGTGATTTGGGATCATTGGGTCACATGACATAGAAGGTGTTGAAAGAAATATAAAGGTTTGCATAAATGAACTAAAGTCCAAGAAACAGATGTGTGTCCCGTGAATTCAGTGTAGTACTAAAGCTAATCGAAAGAAAAATAATGCTGAATGTCGATAACAGTATTTAACGGGTGGACTGTGTGTGTGTGTTCTCCAGTGAATTAATAAATGGTATGGAATTGAAGTCACTTGGTCACATGACATGTAAGCTTTTAATGAAATGAAGGGAAAAAAGCAATTTTGAATAAAAAATTCACATTAAATAGAAGGTGAACTCAAATCCAATTTAAAAAGGAGTGTGTCTTAATTTGACAGTGTTAAGTTTATATCTGGTTCGGATTGGGAGTCAATGGGTCACAAGATATGGAATGTATTGAAATATAAATTACACTTTTCAACAAACATGTTAAATTATCCTTAAAATATTCTCGTAAAATAGTTGGTACAATAAAAAGTTCATATTTGTCCAGTGTACTAAAACAATGATTGGATTTTGAGTCTTTTTCAAAAAGACAGGCCTACAGTAGCTACTAGCCTACTAGGATTTTTTTGTTTTTAAGAAAGACTGAACCATGTCTTATGTTGCATACTATCATTTATAAATATATATTCAATGTTTTATCCTTTTTTATGAAACTATGCCATGACATACTGGATTGGTCATTATTAATCATTTTTTGCACACACTGTTGTATTGTGTTGCGCTGTTCGTGGAGCTTGTGACCTAAGATTTTCATCGTCATAACTACAGCTATGTACGTATGACTAATAAAAGCCTTGGATAGCCTACTGTTTTTTAAACAAGGTAATTTTATTATTTTGTTAATGTTTTATGCCTTTATCTAAATGTTACTTGTACCCGCGAAAGTGCTATGGCATAAGGATACAAGCATAAGTCATGTATTGAACCAACAACCTTTCCAGTTAGAAATACATATGTTGCTTCTTCCAACAAAAATGTTTCACATTAAATAGGGCTACATTTTCTTTAACTTCACTTACAACATGGTTGTAAACTAAGTACTAAAATATCCTGCCTAGTGCCTACCATCAGTGAGGCATGGACCATAGAATAACAGAGTTAGTTTAAAAAAAGTTATTTAGCATCTTTGGCATTAGCAATTTATTTACAGTGGTTGCCGCGGTAACGACCGTGCCGCAAAGCATGATGGTTTGAAATAAAATGCTGGCAGAAATACCCGAGACATTGGCCTGTACCAGCCAATGACAGCTCCCTGTGCATTAATAACAGCCAATGGGGACATGGCAAGGCAGCAGTCTCCTACCGCTACACACCCACATTACTTTTGTGTCAACCACTTCGCGGGAGTTGTCACAACAGGAGCGGTCATCTCTTTAAAACTAGACAACACTATACGAGAAACTAGTAAGTACATTTAACAATTTCACATTTTAAAATGACTACATGTGTACTTTACTTAGTTTTCATCATTATCAAAACGATTAAATCTGTGCTGACTGTTAGACGATGTTTATTTTTCCTTTTGCGATATGAATGAGTAGCTAGTTATCGCAACCGTTAGCAAATCAGAGGCTCGTCGTCGCTGAATATATGCATGTGTCGATGTCTGTTAGCAAACCCCCATGACACCTTACTTCGGATAAGTCATATTTATCACAAACGTTATGTTATTATGAGAAATTTGCCTTTTCCTGGTATCCTGCACGTTAGGGCAAATAAGGCTTGCCCTTTCGCTGCTTTATAATGTTAGGTAACGTTAGTGGAAAATGGTCTTTCATTTAGTTTAATAGGATCCTGGATTAAAACCTTGGACAAAATTGAGACGATAATCTAAAATGTCTTGCGTATCCATAGAAACTACGCAGCGCGCGCATCCTTTGAGCTTGATGGAAGTTGTTATGCAACACTTGTAGAAACGGCTAGTTCACATTATGTGCCAGTTATTATGTAACGATAACTCGTCACCAACTAACGTAAACCATTTTCTTTGCTTAACTGGGTGATGACAACCAAGTACGTTAACCATACCGTATCGTTTCAGTCAATCGATGATAAGGACTGTTGGGATGCTCAGGGTCTTTTGCATTGTGTGTGTGCCAATGCGCCCGTGAAGATGATAAATCCTCCGCTGTGTTTTGGTTTCCCAGGGCAACCATGTCTGACAGAAAAGCAGTGATCAAAAATGCCGACATGTCGGAGGACATGCAGCAGGACGCCGTGGAGTGTGCCACTCAGGCCCTGGAGAAGTACAACATCGAGAAAGATATCGCTGCATACATCAAGAAGGTAAATACTACTGCTGACGCATCTTCCATTCATTAAAAGTCTTAAAGTAGACTCAAACAAAGTTAATCTTTAACCTGCTGACTTTTGAGCAACATGTAGTATTTCAAAGAAATTGACATAATTCAAATAACAAAACCATTCGTTGGCAATTCAAAATCTTGGATTTTAGGTCTGTCAAGCAAAACGAGAGTCTAACGCATTACAAATATGCTTTTTAAATTATAGGGCTACATTTTATTTACATTAATAAAGAGATGCATATTTGCAGTAGACAGTATTTAAAATGCACAAACGAAAATAAACAGGAATGTGGCGACGTTAAGCTATTTGCGCTCACTGGAAAACCCATCTGGGCATCATTCATGTTTCACCCTAGCCTGGTATTTGTAATTGTTTCCACTCTTCCTGAGGGAACAAGTTCCTCTTGGATGGTCTGTTCTCCAGAAACCAACATGCCCACATTTTTTATCTCCATAGTGACATTCCTGTTCAAAGTAGGGAGGACCACACCTTTTTATTGTCATACAAAACCGCTGGAATATTACCTTTTGAGCTTCTATATGTTAGGAATTTGCATTATAAAATGCATTTTTACCCAGAAGATCATTGAAAGGGAAAACAAAGATGCTTATCAAACAAATTAGTTATAAATTCAACTTAAGTTTAACATTTCTAAGTAAGAAATGTGTGCGTCTTGATCGTGGCCCATTGGTCACAATAAATCAACCATATCCAGTTACAAAAAAGTTGTTGATACGTAAACATGTATTACTTGTTTGTTGTGATGTAGCATATGAAACTACAAATAAGAAACATTACTTCACCATATAAGCATTTTAATAATGTATTTTGTTTTCACCTCCAAACATGTTGGACCACAAATGTTTGATGAATACGTTTCTTCGCCCCTCACAGGAGTTTGACAAGAAATACAACCCAACCTGGCACTGCATCGTTGGGAGGAACTTTGGCAGCTACGTGACCCATGAGACCAAGCATTTCATTTACTTCTACTTGGGTCAAGTCGCCATCCTGCTGTTCAAGTCGGGCTGAGAGAATGCATTTTCTCTAAATCAGCTGACCATACATACAGTACTGACTGATTCGACAAAGGCACTTATCATTCCTTGGCAAGGGGCCGCTGCCTTTTTCTGTGCTGCTTTCTACTTTGTTCTGTTTTTGAGGATAAAAAAAACGTGGCCATGTTAAAGAGATGAAACACTTGTATTTATTTTTGTCTTGTTACATTAGACATGTCATTTTTTTAATTAAAGTGTAGCTGTTAAGCTGTCTGGGTCCAATGTCTGGTGTGGTCACTTCATTATACACTAACTGAACCAGGAGATTGGTAATATTAGCAAATTCTCATGATTTGAAAGGCATAACATTACAAGTGGGATAAAATCCTATATTTGCAGTTAACACTGGAGTGACTAAATATGCAATTGACATTTTTCCGCCATAATTTGAAAGACAAGTCACTCATGCCAGCTTCTTAGAGCTTTTGGCGAACAATTATCTTTGGCTATATCTGATGCTCATTTATGGTTGATTGCAAGGGAACAAAACAGAATAAACCTGATCATGGTAACATATTACAACGCATTTGAATGTTCAAACTCCATTTCTTTAAATTGACTACTCAATTAAGTATTATTTAAAAATATATTTCAATTCATTTGTATGCCATGTCCCACTCCATTTTAAAAAGGGGAACATTGTGTTTTACCAGAGATGGCAAAGTACACACCCTTTACTCAAGTAGAAGTACAGATACTCATGTTTAAAAATACTGTGATAGAAGTACTGGCTGATTTAAATAGCAACTGACCTCACTTTATAATAAAACAATGTCATTGTTAGCTAATGAATGTTTCGATGCTGAACGGCAAAATGACAACGTTTTCATTGGTCCCTCTTTGAAGACCAGGAAATGAATACAAGTATCGTGTTAAAAATAGGCCCTCTGACTAAATCACGCCATCTAACACAGATTAAAACTAAAGTAACAAACCTGTATTGAAGTAAGTAGAAAGCACAGGTATGTGTTAAAATTGTAAGTAAAAAGTCGTCAGAAAAACAAGTGGAGTAAAGTACTGATACCAGAAAAATGTACTTAAAGTATTTGTACTCCACTTCCCACCTCTTGATTAATCAAATTACTAATTTTGCAGATCGGTTTTCATACCCACTTCATGAAATACAAAGGCATGGTTATGCAATTAACCATTAGCTGTAATGCTACCAGCCACAACATTAAAACTAATTGTATATTACAGCATCAAAAATAATCCAAACTAGTGATGAGCCCTTTCCTTATATTGAGTGCTTCGTTTTAAAACCATCATCTACATTAAATATTCATACTTTTTACATGTACCATTTAAAAATGCAGGATTTGTACTTATAGCACAGGCTTTTTAGTACAGATTCCATCATTGCCTTTACATACTCGGCACAAATGAGGCAGGAAAGATGATTAGACGGTGGTACTGTTTATTACAACACATTTAGAAAACCAGCTTGTGTGGAAAGACTCCATTTGACAGGCTGAAGGAAGAGCGAAGGTATCCTTTGAGCTGAGGTACTTTCTTGATGAGGGGCAGGAGCTGAGCGTCCACCGCCTTCTGGTCCTCTTTCCTCTGCTCGGTCAGCTGGTACTTCTGCACAGAGACATGGAGAAGAAATCCGTGAGTGATGTAAAAATGTGTTGGGCAAAGTCCCGTTGAAATGTTCAAAGTAAGGCATTAAAAGACAATAGCCCAGTTAGTTCACCTCTTTCTCTGTATCGAAGATCTCTCCCTCCTGGTGGCGGGGCTTCCTCAGCTTCTTCTTCTTGAAGTAGGCATCGTTCAGAGTTTTGGGGATCTTCATGCCAGTGATGTCAACTTTGGTGTTGGTGGCAATGGAGAACTTCTGGTGAGCCCTGCGCAGGGGTACTCTGTTCAGCGCAAGAGGGCCTAGACACGCAAACAGGAAAATAGCAACGTTAAGAAAAGTAGAAAGATGCCCAAATAATTGCTGTTCTAATGTCACTGAGCTTAAATGTGAAGGTAACAGCATGCGCAACAAAAACAATTATCCTTACCAGTGACAAGCAGGAGACCACTTGAGAGCTGCTTCAGGAACACCACACGCTGAAAGACAAAAATCAAGTCTCTTTAGGATCAACCCTTTGTACTGGAGTTTCACACTATTCAGCTCAATTAGTGAGCTTATAAGAAAACAGTCATTTGTGCCATTTGGTTAAGACATGTTAAATGACTGCATCCATTTCATGGTTTTGAGAATGGAGAAAAATAAATCTGACACTCCTAATTATAACAGGAAGACTGTCATATTCACAGCTGAAACATTATTTAGGTCAGCTACTGCTCAAAGTGTGTGGGCACACTAGCATGCCTCCATAACTTGCCCATGCATCATTTGAGTGTGGGAGGTAAAGACAATGTCTGTGGACCTGAGGTTGTGTGATTATAGTGATGCATCAAGCACGCTTGTTAGAAAATTCATTTTTTATTCACGATAACATGGGGCTTTTTTCTGGAGGGGCAATATCTATAGATACGTGGGTTGTACATGCGTCTTTATAAGAATGTACGTTGGGGAGAACCGAGCATCCATTATGTTGCCACTGTTAAGACAGTTACATTTGTGACAGTACAACAACAAGCACAAGTCCACCTCTAATGCAATTAGTAAAACACACCAATGCCTTGATAAAAATGATGAATATAATAATAATATTGTGCAATAGAAGGCATAAAAATAGAAAAGAGATGGCATTTCCAAATTCAGTAATTTAACATTACACTCCAATTTCATTATTGAGGCTGTAACCAGGAGTTGAGCAGCGTTGGGTTTAGATTTCGAGGTTCAATTACTTCACATGAAAATGATTAAACATGACGCTAGGCTTGCAGTCATTTAAAAAAAGAATTCACTCATTCAGTTCATCTTTACACAGGCCAATTACCCCCTTTTAGTCCTGAAGCAGAGAGAAAAAATAACCCAGACCGACTGTAATCTCAACGTTACTTTATGTATAATTTTTCATGGCTTTGATCATACAAAGAATATATAAGAATTCACCCATGTATGTTTCCTAACACACTAGAAGAATCTTAGCACTTTTGGCCTGTGTTGTTAATGTCCTCATTACTGATAATCCCTGAACATTAAACAAAATTGAAAGGGAAGACCAGCTAGAAATGATTCTCACCTTTCCACGATGGCGGCCAGTGAGCAGGATGAGGACAGTTCCTGGGGTGATGGAGCTGCGCAGCTTCCTCTTGTGCTGGCTGAAGGGTTTCTTCCCATGGCTCTTCAGTTTACGGGGAACATCTTCTGTGGGGTAGTAGCGGGGCTACAGAAGGAGCACATGGAAATAAACATTACCATTTTAAATTGAGGTTTGCAATAATAAATCTAGTGGAAGACATGCCCATACAAAAAAAAAGTACATTTAATTGAACTCATAGCCCTGTGAAACCCAAGTGTCCCTGTTGCTTTATTGGCTTATATGAAAGTTGTAAGGGGAATTAAATTGACCCACTGCCCCTGATATTTTAAACTGGCCACCAATTGTGCTCTCAAATACTTGAATAGAGATATTTAGTCAAAATATATGATGGAGTTAATTCTGATCTTAATAACAAAATAAACTCTGAGGGTTAAAAACAAGAAATTACACTTTGCTCACCATCTTGCGCAGCTTGACAACACGAGTGCCTCCATTCTTGTCTCCTCCAACTGTCTTGACAACAGTTGCCTTGGGCCTCTCCCTAATCTTTTTCTCCACCTGAAACAAAAAGCAAATTGTCATCAATACAAGTCAAGTGTATGGTTTTATCATCTATTTTGCATGGTGTCCCATATCTGCCCTTACCTTGGTCTCAGTGGTCTTGCTCTTCCTCTTGTACATGGCCCTGCGGGCATACATAGCTGACCGGGAGTAACGGCCGATACCCCGGGCCAGGACCGGGTTCCGGCTCCCGTGCTTCTTCTTGGGAGTCTTTTTGTCGCCGTCTGCCATCTGACATAAAAAAGAAAAAGGTTAGTAAACCAGAAGTATATGGTGTCCACTTTCAAGTGTATTTATTTTTACATGGTTTATTTTTTAAATAATCTTCTAGACTCCAAACAGTATTCCAGCTTTGGTTGGAAAGTCTGCTGCACACAGTTTACAAGTACTATGATTTTGGTATTCATCAACCTTACAGAAGGCTAACACTGTAGCAATACTACAGCCTATAAGAAAATGTGTCTAGTTTAAAATGACAACGCTTTTGCAGCAGCAGAAACAAATATTAAAATATGCAATAAGTTGCTTAACACAAGAAAACATCCCGGCAATACAGCATATGATTACTAAACGTGCTTGGCTGGTAGTTACACACCACAGCCTTCGCCTATGCACTACAGGCATGTAGCGTTAGCTAGCATTAGCATCATTAGAAGAAGAGTCACTAGACAGCCACTTGCGTTCTTAATACTGACAATGTAATGTTATAAAATATATCTCATGTGTCAGCGGAATTATTTAGTTTGTCCGACTAACGAAGGACCAAACGTTTCTATTAGTCCGCTAGCTAACGTTATAGGCTAGCCGGCGGCCTAGGACTGCATATACACCAAACTGTTCATTATTACAGAAATATGACGGACGAATCGCAAAAATAACCATGTCTACCGCATCGTTATAGTACAAAGAGTTGTACCCTGATATTTAGAGACTGATTGTTTAATTCTGTAACACAGATGCAAACAGATTTTATTTCAACAGAAACACGAAGGCAAGGCAGTCTTACCTTTGCTATGAAAAAAAGACCGTCATCCGGGGATGTGACGTTTATAAGGACGCTGAACGATGACGTTTACGTAATTGCGTCGCGTTACAAAGATGGTCTTTGTAGTCCTAAATATATTTCCCGTTTATTCTCACTGAACAATGAACATTTAATGCTTTTATAGAGCTTGTAGAAACATTTATGATGACTGTATGGTGGAATGAAGTTTGATATTGGAGATTATTAGCTGTAGGAGTATTGTTATTTATTTATTTATTATCTTAAATATATCTTCAAATATTTGAAGTGATCCAAAAACAATTCTAAGAGCAGAGCCTTAAAAAAAAAAAAAATAGTCTGAAGCACATGTTATGTTTTCTGTTATTTGTTTTTTCAAACTGTACTTGCTATAAGTAACATCTCAATTCCAGATTTTGGCTACTTTAAAAAAAAAATGGGTAAATCACTACAATTAGAAAGCCTACATACATGTCTGATATCAAAAACCACTCAGTAATCCTTTCTCCATGGGTATATGTGTTCAGTTTTTCATAATTAATTTTAATTTTTTTAATGCAATTGAAAATGTTATTAAAAAACAAGCTTTAAAACCAAAGTAAGTTTTTTCTGTTTGTCTCATGTTAATCCCTGCTCATCTAGAAAAAAACACTTGAAAAACACAATTCAACTTTAGTTTTTGAAAATTATTTATTTATTGAGAATCTTTGACACAGACATACAAAATCAGTTTCTGCTGGAGCCCTCGCAGGTCAGACATATTTACTGGAACATCTGATCCCTGATAATGGAGGGATAGAAAACATAATAAAAGGCAAACACCAGAGTTCAGAGTCCTTACTGTAACCCAATACAGACTGTTCTTTATGGAGTTAATAATATGCTACACTTGGGAATGTGATCTAGCTCTGTGACACATTTACACACACAAACAGTCTCTTGCAGTCTGGTAATACAATCACAGAAACATGAGTTTGTTCTTCATCTTCACATGGCTTCCAAGGCAACAATGGACTGAAACATTTATTATATATTTTTTGTATAAATAGAACGTAAGGAGTTATAATGCTTAGATCTTTGTGTTCCATTGTAAAAGCTGTGCAGCAGTGCCTCGTGTTAACATTTGCCATTTCACAGTATCTAATGTAATATTTTTAGATTTATTTTAAGCATGTGTCAACTGCGTTTTATTATATTTGAGTGGACGGTGGTAAAAGACATTCTTCTACAGCATTCCTCTGATACTGGCAGCTGCTTCGTTCAGTACTTTTCCAGGATGATGGCGATGCCTTGACCTCCACCGATGCAGGCAGAACCAACGGCGTACTTGCCTCCTCGTCGCCTGTAGGAACAACAAAGTTAAATATTCAATGCTCCTTAATGTGCAACCTTCGCCTGATATAATGTACATTCATTTAATCAAACGATAAAATTACCTGAGCTCATGAACCAGGTGGGCAGTGATACGTGCTCCAGAGGCACCAAGAGGATGCCCAATGGCAATAGCTCCACCGTTAACGTTGGTTTTTGCTGGATCCAGTCCGAGAGCCTTAGCAACAGCCAGGTACTGAGCGCCAAAAGCCTCGTTCACCTGTGTAAAACATAAGTCACCAATGACACAAATGTGTTATAGCTGAATCAATCAAAACACATATAAAAAGGAAGTTTTGGAAAGCAACTATTAATATAACTCAAGTACAATTTGAAGTTACATTAATTTAGTATTTCCTTTATTTATTGAGTTGGATTCTTTTTTATTCAAACATATAATAAACCTAAAATTCCAACAAATTGTGAAAGATTTAATTGTTTTTTTTAAATGTTTTTGGCTTGTGACTCCTTACAAAAAAGCAGTGTCTACTCTGAGCAACTTTAAAGATCTAAGAGACATTATCAGCTACACCAAAGCAACTTTAGCGAATTATTATTAACAATCTGATATGGCTAAATAAAATAATATATCTGTGACAGGATGCACAGTGTATTACACATCTCTTTGGGAGCGACTACTTGAAGTACAATTTGCTTATGATACTTCTGTACTTTCATAGTTCTAAACTAGTGCAGCACTTTAACTTGTAATGATGGATTTTCTTACATTACTGTATTAGTGCTTTTACGTATGTCAAGACTGAGTAATTATTTTACTACTGATGAAATGTCTGACAGAGTGAAATGTTTTGCTAAAAACAAACCTCCACAAGATCCATGTCATTGAGAGTCAGGCCGGCTTTTTTAAGAGCTTCTGTGATTGCTGGAACGGGACCTAAGATGTTTTAAAAGAAAACAGAGATACTTAAACCAATGTGAAATACCACAACCATTTATTTAGTTATTCATTTAATTAAAAAGGGCTTAAATTACATCTCAATGACAGAGGTGTTACTTACCAATTCCCATAATGCTTGGGTCACAGCCTGACACATGATAGGACACAATCCTGGCCAGTGGAGTGAGCTTGTGTTCCTTTAGTGCATCTTCACTTGCAATCACCACAGCAGCAGCACCATCAGATACACCCTGGACACCAAGAGTGTTAGATGTAGTAATAGTAAGCTACTCCCATGGTATGAGTAACAGTAGTTCAAATATGTTTGACTTCAAATACAACTAAATGGCACTAACTCCTTAAAAAATAAATGGTTGTTTTTAGCTTTTAACCGTTTGCAATTACATTTAAGAATTATTTTTAGTTCGAACAGTGTTTCTCAAACAGAAAAAAAAGAAAAAAAATGCACCCCAGATCTTGAATAGGAGTCAACAGCATAAGAGTAAACTACAGACTGTATAGGCGTAAACCCACCGAAGCGTTGGCAGCGGTTACAGTCCCTCCCTTCTTGAAGACGGGAGCCAGTTTGGCCATCTGTTCAAGTGTTGTCTGTGGACGAGGGTGTTCATCCTGAGCCATGGACACCTTTCCCTTCCTAGCTTTCACATCAATGGGAGCAATTTCTGCTGTGTAGTAACCCGCCTCATGAGCTGTGAACAAAAACAAAAATCACAATTGAAATATAAACAATGAGTAGACAAGTTAAAAACAAAAGCCTGTCTTCTCAAAAGAAACATGTTTGGATGTTACCATGTGTAAGGTGAGCAGACCGTACAAATATTTAAAAGATGGATTTTTCTTGAAGGAAACCCGTCTTACCAGCCTTCCACTTTTGTTGTGACTGGTATGCATAGTTGTCAACTTCTTCTCGTGTGATCTGGTATTTCTCTGCCAGGTTTTCTGCTGTGATGCCCATTGGGATTTTGATATGCAGGTCAGTCAGACCCGCCCACAAGGTGTCCTCTAGCTGTCAGACAAAGGAGAATAGTTTATTTTGATCACTGCCTAATAAGCTTCTGGTGTTGAATAACAAGCTATATGTGTCAAGTGTTTTGTTTTTTACAAAGTAGACAAAATCAACCGATCACAAACCTTGAGATCGAATCCAAACTTTGTACCAAATCGTATGTTGCGCACAGCGTACGGGGCCTGACTCATACTCTCTGAGCCTCCGCACAGGACCACCTCTGACTCCCTGAGGCAAATCTCCTACAAACACACAGGGGTTTTGTTTTTGGTCAGCAAGACAACAGATAAGGCCAAAAATGTGCAATTGATTTCTATATGTGCTTTTACACATAGTACAGTAGTGTACATTACTACAGTTTATTCTACATTTGGATATCTGCCAGCGTTATATTTGAGTTCTTACTTGAGTGCCGTTGATGATTGACTGGAAACCAGATCCACACAGTCTGTTCACAGTGAGAGCAGGCACTGGGATGGGCACCCCACACCTCAGACCCACATGACGTGCAATGTAGGCTGCATCAGCTGAGCTCTGAAATGGGGGGGGGGGGGATGAAAAGGTGAGAACCAATGCACAAGTTAGGTATCAAATGAGCATGATAACATTTTCATGTGATGTTAGTTTTGATATAATATTTGTTGGTTTTTAAGTACCTGCATGACATTTCCCACGATGACACTGTTTACAAGTTCTGGTGCCACGCCCCCTGCAGCGAGGGCGGCTTTAGCTGCGTGCTCAGCCAAGTCTGTCGCACTGTGATCCTTCAGCACGCCACCATAGGCACCGAACGGAGTGCGCTTGGCCCCCACAACAAATACACCTGCAAAGAGAGTATTTTAGTACAGCGACAACAAAAATACAACCACCAGTGACCCAGAGCCAGATCACAGCGTCAGGAAGTGCTTAGTGGTTCATCATGCAGAGATGGTCAACACTGCCAGTGCATTGAGGAGCAGAAAATAAAGATACTGTACAAGAGGGCATCTAACACCAAGGATTGAGATGGACTGGAGAGAAAGGGGGAGCAAATAATCAAGGTATCCAGCTCTTTTTCAGTAATATCTCTCAGATCCAAACGATTAATGTTCAGGGATGATTGAGTATTATTATATATATATTTTTAATCAAATCAGATTAAATGCACATTAATTAATTTGCTGCATAAAAATCAATAAGACCATAAAACCGTGATGATTTTAACGGACAAGTTAAAAACAATTGTGGTGCCTTCTTTGGAAAGACATACTGTTTGGAGACACTACTAAGACTACTGTCCTTAAGTCTTTTTCAACTTGCCCAAAGCCCTCAAAAAAGAAATGTAAAGTTTTCTTTATGCATCATTTTCTTTACCTTGGTTAGTTTACTTTATCTCAACCAGAATTGCATTTTGAGTCCGTAAATTGCTTTGATGATAACATGTTTAGTAATAAACAAAACATTAGTGGTAGTAGCTAAAGGGCATGATAGTGCTGTTTATTTTATTTGTTGATATGCTTTTTAGTTTATGATCATTGTGTACTATCACACCCTCGAGTACACTTCACCATCACTGTAGTAATATGAGGGGGGGGGGGACACTAGAGGTCAGCAAAAACAACTCTCAGCCTGTCAAGTTGCTATTAAATAGCTACAAAAGGGCATATTAAGATATTTTCTTGATGTGTGTACTGTGTAGGCCATTGATGTATTCAGAGAACAGGCGGACAGCTGGCTGAGAAGGACCCTGGACTCCTCAGTCCTCACTACTTTGTGTGTGGCTATTGTCATTATTGAACACTATTAGTAGGTTGATAAAGAAGGTAAAAATAAATTGCTAAACAGTAAATATGATAAATATGAATTGCACTTATATAGATCGAGAGGTATTTGGGGATGCTGGCGATCAACATATGGTTATGAACTTGACACCATCTTGTCACCTTTCACCTATTTTGTAGTTAATGCTGTGATCAGACTATACACTTTAACCATCCTCTTTCACATTTCCAATGACATTATATCGACTTTCACGTGACGACATTCTTCTCAGGAAACTATTAAAACCTACACTGCTACATAAAGGTTTCTTTAAAAAAAAGTGACGTTAGCCCTTTCTCAAAGTCCATCTGCATGCATTCCTGCTTTTATTCGCTTTCTATATACCTCAAAAAAGTATTTGTTTACCTCGTAGAAGAGCCATGATGCAGAATCAACAAGCCAGCAGTGTCAGGATAAAACTCGTGGGCTGATATATTCTTTCTCTGCACCGAATGAATATCAGTCCGTGCAGAATACAACACTGCAAAGCGACCTTTCCCCTAAATAGTGGGGCAGCGAACTTTGCACTCGTCAAATAAGATTCGCCAAAAATGTTACATATAACTTCGAACTTAAACATTATGAATTAATTGAGGTAATGTTATGTCTTGCATAACTTTAATTTCCTTATGGTATTTTCAAAGTGTTCTATATGTAACTAATTTTATTTAGTTTTCTGTGCTTTCAAAACACTCGAATGTGCCTCCGTGCGATCGTGAGCGTGACTGTTAGTCAACGTCATCACGTCACGTACGCAGGGAGGACAGGGACAGCCCACATCCATGGGACAGCGGAAGACACTACATGTGAACATTTTTGACCCCGAGTTTGAGTTTAAACTGAAACAACGCAAGGTGGAAACATGTCTATGTGTTTATCGCGCAGTCTCTGCAGGGTGTTATCCCGACAGACCGCTTCGTCAAGGTGAGTGTTTGTAAAGTAAGATTTAAGCAGCTGACTGGGCGCTAGCTACCTGGAGCTAACTCAGCTAAGGTTATTCACAAGATAAAGTGCCAAACTTAAAGGGAAACTGTCCCCTATATTAATCTATTGGGGTCAATGATTTAGTATTTTTTGACCTGTATTCTGTGTTGCTTTTCAGCTTCATGTTGGGAGAACATCACCATGCTGTACTGACTCCTTGGTTTGCTTCTGTGATGACACTGAAGACATCTGCTTCTCTAAGGTAAGATCAAAAGTCCGAGGTTCACTGTATGTCCATCTGTTATTTGGTCATTTAATTCATTGCAAGTTGTGTGGGAAAAAGGCTATTACCAGAACATAGTATTATAAGACAGATCCTGCATTCAAAAGCGTATTTACAGGTCTTACCAGTCTTATATTATATGTGCCAAACTCTACTTTTAACGTTGTATTGTTTTTGCAGTCACTATATTATTGTCATTTTAGCCAGAGTTGATGTTAACATCTAGTTTCAAAAATCCAAAGTCATGTCTTAATTTTGCCCAAATACATATGTTTCAATGGTGCAAAATGGTGAAAAGCAAAGAAACAAAGCTATCTTTACATTTGAGAGGCTGCAACCAGAATATGATGACGTTGCTTCACAATACACAGTTGTTAAAATTGTTAACTGATTTTCTTTCGATCAAATAATTTATTATTAGAATAATTGTTTCAACTACAATTCAACAAATGTAATGTCACAGAAAAACCAGTAACCAGCAACGTTTCCTCACTGGTTAGTTTCTGAATTTCTGTGCACCGCATCTTATCACTATGCACAGAGGGCTGGAGCTGGGGATGGAGGGTCAGTAGATCGCCTTACATGTTAATTTACCAGGGGTTTGATGATTATTAAACCACCTTTTACGGTTAAGATGTGTTCTAATTTCCCAGTATAAAAAAGTCTATGATATGAGCCAAATGCTAGCGATAAAGTCACAGATATGTGTCCAACCTAAATGTAGAACAGTGAATGATATCGATATAGCATTTGTTGATTCATTATGTAAACTCTGAACAATATAACAATACTTATCATAGTATTGATATATTGTGATTGACTATGCTGACATAGAGCTATGCTTTGTGTTTAAGAGCGGAGCCTAAAAAGAAGAAGAAAGCGGCCCCAATGAGCGATCAGTTGCAGAGAGATCGGCTGAAAAGAAGAGTGAGGAGGATGGAGAAGGTTCCCCCGGAGCTTATCCCCGTAGAGGACCACATCACTCCAGTCTCATGCTTGGATGAAACAAGGTGCAGCTCATTTCACTGTGGTCCATAGTACTGTCATCAACAATTTTTATGGAATTCTTTCAACAATCGGAATAAAACAAGACAATGCCCGCCACATTCTTTGTCTTAGTACATTATTGCATTCAGATGGAATAACTTTGTATGTATCATCCATTTTGCTTTACTTAGCTTGCTGACTTTGATGTGTTATAAGTTTGTTTTTTCTTCTCTTCCAAAGGGAGCGCTCTGCAGTAAACCTGTTATTTGAAGAGAGCGAGCGTCGAGCCTCGCTGTTGAAGGAGTGGTGTCGATACAAACAGGTCACCACTTACCTTCAACACCTCCAACACTTAAGCTTTTACAGATAATTGTGTGTCTGACCTCTGCCCTCCATCATATAAAGTAAGTGAGTTATATTTGTGCTCTTCTGTTTGGTCACGCAGGAGCAGAACATGGCTGAAATGCAGGCTGTTGAACTCGCTCTAAAAGCGCAGACTGAGGCACTGGAGGAGCTGAAGCTGGAGTCTGAGGAGCTGTACCACGCATCGCTGAAGCCAGACACTCTTTTATTTCCCTTTACTCATGAAGGCCCTGTCCACACCCCGCCAATTAACAAGTACGATGCTCCTGATGGGAAGTACAACGACATCACTAAAGTTTACACACAGTGATGGACTGGAAACAGCTGTTTGCCCGGGTCAATTGTCATGTATTAAGTGTATGTTTCTACACAATTTAAATGATTAAAAAAGCATATGATGGTCTGAAGGACAATTATTTTTATTTTTATTGAATTGTAGTCTCCAGTGTTTTTTTAAATGTCCGTATAAAATGCAACAGCATTCACGAAAATGATGCATAGATTTCTTTCCTCACATTTATATTTATGTATAAAACAAAACTGAAGAAAAAATAAAGTAAACATGTTTTTTATTGATCCAATTTGTTCAGAATAATTTTCAGCAGTTTGTGTCATGTCATGATAAAACTATAACCAAATACACATGGTAGAAAACTGCTAATGCTAAACTCCATATGGGTTGAACAGAAAAGCTGAATAAAGTCAATAATACATACATTTTGTACAGTATATAATGTGTTCATTATGGAGGAGTATCTACAGCAAGTAAAAGAATACAGTGCTTTTGAGAAGTGTTGGTAGGGTAACTAGGGCCAACTCTCCGGTCAGATGCCATCAAAAGTGTTAGTACACTATAGAGCAGCATCACTACCCAGGTCATTCTTAACTTGGATGGAATATATTAAATCTTGTGAATGTATCCATAGCATGATTAGACCCGTTACTCACCTTTTTTCCTTACACTTTTCTAAACCTGAAAACAAGGCGACTAATTTTTAAATGTCTTTATGGTGGGTCTGTTAGTGCAGTCAGAGTTTGTGATTCAGTTAAAACAAGCTTTGGAAAATGTAGTACTAATGACAGGAACATCCCAACACTGATTTAGCAGAGATCAGTTATTATCTAGTTGAATGGACACTTATCACAATTGACCATGAGAGGCTGCCGTTGACACATCTGTGTCCATACAGCAGCATCTACTGAGACAGTAGAGTGATGAACAGTCTCTCCCGCACGTGGTTCGAAACGAACCTTGGTTGCCATGGGACCGAGACAGGAGGTTGATAGGTACAGTTCAGGAGTCCTGAGGCTTTTCCTGGTTTAGGGGCAGGTGCCAGTCTCCGGGGGGTTCTTTCCTCAGTTCCCACACTGGGGTGAAGTTTCCCTGTTCTGCCACTCTGTCCCGCTCACTCTTCAGCAAGGCTTCCTGCAATACACATATATTATTTATTCAAAGGCTGATTTTCATTTGAAGATTTATTTTTCCAAGAGTTATTTCCGACAGCCTGGACTGTGTAAAAAGTTTGTTTTGATTAAGTAGAATGGCAATAGTTTATCCTTGTCTTATAGGTTTAGGACTTTTAAAATGTGACCTCCTGCAGCTGTACCTTAGCCTCGGCGCTTCTGCGTTCCTCCCACTCTCTGCAGTCATTGTAGTCATTTTTCCACTGCTGGCAGGATGGAACGGTACCGTAGGTGTAATAGTGGTGAAAACCATTACCCCAGCTTACACAATGTTTGAATTCCTCCCAGTAGTTATCACAGGCTCGGGGCGGCTGTACCAACAGAAAAAAGCAGTGATCATCATCCAGCCAACTTGACACATTACTATCAGTCTCAGGGGTGTGACTGCATAACTTTTTCTGGTTACACTTGACAAGCTCATGTTAAATGGATGCAAAATGTGAGAGCATGAAAATGATTTACCTGAAGAAAAGTAAACGTTTTATTATGAAATGTCATTCAAATTATTGAAAAATATGATATTGCTAAGACTTTGAGACCAGGTCATTCTGAATATCAAACTCCAGGAAATAAATACATTTTACTTTAAAAAAACTACGCTATTATTTAAAAAAAGAAGGTTAATAATTTCACAACTTATAGCATGCATTTGCCTAATATCATTAATATCATCGTCTTATTTATTTTAAAACCTACAGATATTGGAATTAATGACTCATCCACTGACTATATTTTTGAAACGTTTACTTAGTATAAAGAAAAATAAACATCCTGAAGCTCCATCAGGTCACTTATGTTTAGACGAACCACAGTTTGCTCAATGGCAGATCTAGTATAACAAACATAGTTGAAGTTTTACAAATTAATTCTCAAAGCAATTTTTTAAAGCAAATAATAAATACCTGAGTTTCTGCTAAACCCCCACTTCTCACTGACTTACATACATGTTATTGGTAGCTAGCTAAGGTTACTTGGCAATTTAGCAACGATAGCTAATCACCTTGCTAGGTATTTGGATCGTTGTTGGCACTTTTCACTCATTATCAGAACTAGTAAGAACATTCATTCAAGGCCCTTATTTCAAAGATAATATTTGATAAATTACCCTCCACTCTGCTTTTGCAGGTCGATCCATTGCTAGCTGGGCTAGCTAACACAGAATATATACTTCCGGTTCGATTTCGTTTCACAATAAAAGCCCAAGAATACAGTTCAACAGCCATAACCTTCAACTTAAAGCTACAAAACACTCTTGAAAACATAACAATGAAGCAACATGAGTGATTAATACTAGTAACATTAATGATTACTAACTAAACATCCCATAATTATAGTAATAGTAAAAATTGTGATGGATTATTTTAAAGCAAATCATATCAGTTTCATTTAATTTCCTTGTCATACTACAAAAATAACCTTAAGGGACAATTAATTCATTTCAAACAGTTCTTTATTTGTCTATAAATAAACCAAGGGAAACAGGATGAAAAAATGAAAATCAGGCCTATTCCTAAAAAACTCAATCATAAAATGATGTTCAGATTAAAAACCAAAGAATTTAGCTATTATTGCTTCCATTTTTATCAAAAGAATGCAAATCTGGATAGCAGCATATTTAAAGTCAACTGTAAAAATGCAATAATTATGAAGAAAAGGGGGGAAATACTCTCATATCACAATTATATTTCACAAGGTATTCTTTGTGTTGGTGGTGTGGTGATATAATTATTTTTTATTTATTTCACAAACTCCAGACAGCATTATAAGGAGCTCAGCTTTTGTTGAGCAACATGTTACTGTCAGACCTTTAATAACATCAAATCCCAACTCAACAGCAACACCATTTCAAAGCGACAAAGAGTCAAAAACCGCATGGATCTGAAGTTCAGTTTTTTACTTTGCTGTTTAGGGGGACAATGTATATTGCGAGTCTCTGCATGCTAGCCAGTCTCTCCACGTGGGCTCCTTCAAGGCTTTCTTCCCTTTTTGCGTAGTGACTGTCCTTCTCCAGAGAAGGCGATGAATCTGTTCAATTCATCCTCCTTGAAGGAAAAATAGAGAAAATCATGTATTCAGAGAATTCAATTCAAATAAATAGAATAAATCACACAAATTGTTTAGATGAAATGCTATGAAGAAAACTAGTTTGGTAGAAAAGAGCGTGAAGAAAATAATGCTAATTGCTATTGCAAATAGAGCCAAGTTAAATATGTAAAAACATATGATGATATCCATCGCGTTTCTTACCTCATCGAAAGCTTTCCTGGGCAGAGGCCTTGAGTTTCTGATGAAGGTGATTCTGCCAACTTTGTAATCGTAGTTAGGAATGCCTCTGTGAGATGAAGGATTAGAGCTTTTGGTTAGTTATTTACACTGAAGGCTTGTAGAGTGGTTCACTGCTCAGTGATGTGTTGCAGAATGAGCATTGAACAGGGCAACAAAAGGTGTTGAAAGGCTCCACGAAAAAATCCTGTTGACTTTTTGTTGAGCTAACCAGGGCTTCACCAACATCCCGGTTGGCAAACAAAAGACATCTCCACTTTAACACTCAAATATTTTGCAGTTCTCATCATGAATAGTTACCATTATGTTACAATATTGCATTTTTAGGACACTTCATTTCCTAATGTAGAGAACACTGAACATCACCTTTTGATGTCACTTGGGTCAAGAGGTACAGGGCTGGGCTCTATCCCTTTTAATTTTCCATCCAAACGATTGCCATTGCCGGTAAAAGCCTGAGGAAAGGAAACCGATGAGAAGGTATAACATTAGCTCTAGTTATTACGGTTATCAGATGTGATAAGGACATTTATTTGTCTCTAACCTACTGCACCATTTACTCACTCTAAATCCCAGATCCATGTCGGCGTAACTAGTGGGATCTGCTTCCTCCTCCTGTGAAGAATTGAATTTAATCAATTTGTTCAGAGTGTAAATTGTACAGGTACTTTCAGAATTTGGTCCTTACTGTTGGTTCCTCCTGGTGCTGAGGTCGTCGTTCAGGCTCTTTGTAACCCAAAGGAGCATCAAAATCCACCTGAGAAACAGGGTAGAAACACATTTAAACTGGAGGAATAAACAGAATCATTCACTGTTGTCTTCGATTGTATTATGAATCTTACGTTCATATCGCACTCGATGATGGACACTGCTTTATCTGGCTTTGTCTCCATGACTCGCAGCTCATATATCTGAAACAATAAACCGATTACATTAGCAGAGGTATAAGGTAGAAAGTAATATAGACAAAAACATTCACATATTAGTCAAATACTACTTTTCAAGCTAATTCACCTTTTCATTGTAGTTGATAGCGACGACGTCACCAGTTGTCAAGCAGGCAAAGTTTCTCAAAGCATTCTCCAGTCTATAATAAAGTGACAACTTAGTTAATCTTTATAGTTAAACATATAAAGAGAGAAAAAAAGCCAATTTAACGTTCATAACAGATATTTCTTACACTGCCTTGGGGTTTGTAATGTCCAGGAAATCAGGGCTCTGTGGCTGGAACTTTGAGTAGGTGGCCACCATCAGGTTAACGCTTTCCACTTGGACCAGACCTCCTTCTTCTAGTAGAAGATTCTGCATCATCTGTAACAAACAAAATAAAGCAAATCATCAGCTTTCCTGATGTATACTCTTATGATAGATATGTATTTATTTGTATGAATGTCTGGTAGACAAAGGTGTGGTTAAGGCAAGAGGCAAGGTCAGAAGTGTCGTCAAAGCTGGCGTTAGGTGATGGCTTCTCGAAACAGGAAGGAGAGTTTGCTTTCACCAAGGTCACATCGTTCACATTTAATTCAGCATAGGAGCTTAAAATTACATCCAAAGTGAACAGAGTGCATTTAATCACAGTAGCAGAAAACAATTCAGTTATTGACACTTATCCTGTTCCTCTCACCCAGTGTGGCAGGTAGCAGATTCCCTCGTCTGCCACAAACTCCAGTACGCCACAGTGTGTCATTCTGTCTGAGTTCTTGTTGGTCAGCTTGAACAGCATTGGATAGGTGATGTTAAGCCTGCCTGTTCAAGGAAAAGGAGCAGAAAGGTGAGACTCGTGGAAGGTTTATACAGGACTTTTATGGTGAAAAGGTGTTTGATTTTATTTTCCACTTACTGAGCTGGTCGAGAGCTGAAGGTGGCATTATGACTGAAAAACAAGCCGTTTATTAGAAAAGACCTCGCTATGTATTACACATTCTTCTTATTATTCTGTTTATTTTATTTACAGTAAGTACAAGGACATATTTTGTGTCAATAATACTTACTTTTGCCTCCTTTCTCCACGTCTGAGCGGTCGTTGGGACCGGCCAGCATGGACACCGAGTAGCATCGGTACTGAGTGGAGAAGCGGTTCTGAAAGCCCCGGGACAACGGGTGATCGAACACGTGGAACGAAAACTGTGGGACAAACCAAATCCTTTATAAAACACACATGTTGATCTGATAGCTTTTACGTGAACAGATACCATGAAAGTTAACTCTTTGGCTACATGAACGCAGGGATCCAATCTCATCATGACAGGGCAGCTTGTTGTTGTTAGCCGCTGGCTAGCTAAACTGTTCCAAGTACGGTTTGTTTTGATATAAATGTATCGTCAACGTTAGACAGAATCATTGAAGTGTCACTCACCATGTCGACAGTTTAGGTCTTTGGTTGTCAAACTACACAAATGACAATGTCTGTTTCTGTTTTCCTATTTTAAAGTTTAACGTTTTAAGCCGTGAATTTCCACTGTTGTCTTCCGTTTCTTCCGGAAGTGGATGAGCAGCCTCAAGGAAATGACGACATGAAAGACGTTAGCCAATCAACATTCCATTTGAAAACAAATATATATATATATATATTCGTGTTTATATATCTACACACTCATATTTCTCTGTCTTCACATCATCATTAATATTCTTCATAACTAGTCAACTGGCATTCATGTGAAACAATGATTGGTAATTATGTCCAACCAGTTACACACATACAAACTTCATGAATAAATGTCACACCAGCCTCATTCAGAGCCACACAGTTTTAATGAGTCTTATGAAGACCAAATCAGAAAAACATAATTGACAGCAGGTCACTGATTACAAGTTAAAAGCCATTAAAGAGCTCTAGATGAAAACTGTACAAGTCACAGATAGAGTATATAAAAAAACTGAGAAAAGGCAGTTGTGGTGTGGTTCATTTTGACATTTTAAAAATCCAGAAGTCTGAAGATGCCTTCTGATGGTAAAGAAGGGAGTTCTACCGATCTGAAGATCAACACAAATATCTCATCAAGTGTGTAATAATGTTTTCTGCCTTCTTATGTTAGATGAAAGCCTTCAGATCGGAGGCCAACTTTTGGCTACTTCTTGATGCATGGCTTCCGGTAACCACTGGCAGTATGCAGACAACAGAACTGTAGGAAGAGAAACATACACTTTCAAACAACAGAATTAAATGACAAGAAGGGTAATCGAATAAGACACAGGCACATTAAATCCTCACATTTTTCGTCATCTTTCCAGACAGAGAGGAGGGCATCTCTGCAGTCTACCCTCTTTGACACCAACACTCCCAGCAGAGCCTCCGTCCTGGGCTGCAGCCTGAAGAAGCAAAACACAACAGTAGGGGAAAAGTTATTCCTTTAAACAAGGCAGCGTGTTGACTGCAGATCAGTGTGTTAGAGTATCAACTTACTTTGCCCATGATTTCAGCATGATGGATGGGTTTGAGAGAAGGTGGGTGCCGTTTTTCTTCAGTTTAGGACAAACCTGCAAAACCGACAGAGAAGATGTTACTACAAACAAATTACTAGTTTCTATAATTTTCACAGCTTTTTTGAAGTTCTTGCCAGGTTTTAATTGAATTTTAGCTTCTTGTTTTAAACTTTAGGATATTTTTTTGGGTGGAATACATAGAGAACCATGCAGATAGATAAAACATGTCAGTATAATCCGTTTATTTATATAAAAACAATAATCTAAAAAGGTATGGTGTTAAAATATTTAAGAACGTTAAAAACATTTCTGCTCTTTGAATTTGATATACACTATGTATTGTTTAGATTTGTAAAGATTCATTTATTTGTCTTATTGCATTGAGTTTGGTGTTGGGATGATAAGTGTAAACTGTTTTATTTGTTTTATAGAGTATATATATTTCTTGAATATGCCTAAATATTAGTATGTAGAGTAGG